CACGACACCAGCAAGGAGCAGATCATTCGAGACCTTACGACTGTCCTGGAGTCCAACAGGGAGAACACGGTTCGGCATCACTACATGGACAAAGGGATCAAGTTTGTCATCAAGAATTGGCGACCCGAAGACCTACGCAGAGACGAGGATGGAAGGAGAATGAGGGTGTGCCCGGCATGCTACAACATCGTTCCAGCATGCTTCTCCCGATGCACGTCCTGCTGGTCACAATTCGTTTCTTGCGGATACTACCAAGGTTCACCACAACGGGAGACTCCTACGGAGATCCCCAGTGACTTCATTGCTCAGACAATGGAAGCCGCAGCAGCCGCAGTGCCTTAGGCGCCCGAAGAGGAGCATGAAGCCATGGAGGTAGAGACCGTTGCGGAACCTGAAGAAATCCCAGAACCATCTGTCGTTGCGGAAGACGATCCAGAACAGGAACCTGATGAAGAAATGGACGTTGAGCCTGAAGAGGACTTCGATGACGCAGTTCCGGAAGCAATCGCACAGGAACGTCGTCCCGTCTTCCTTACTGGCCAGTCTTTGAACATCGATCCTGAGCTACAACTTGCACGTACCGCCATGCAGCCATCCTACTATTCTGGAAAGCGAAATGCCCATTGCATTGACGCGAACATGACCGCTCTGTCGTACATGGCATACGTGGTATGCCGATCCATCTACAAAGCTTGGTAAGGATTCGCAAAGTGGGCGACTATGCCGTTGTTTCAGATGAGGGAAAGTTTCGCGCTTGGCCAACGCTATGATGTGCTTGGAAAGTGGGGATCTTTGGCAGCAGTGGACAAGGAAACAGGTGTCAGCAGGGATGTGACTGATGAGGAGCTCATTCGCTTCGCGAAAGAACCTGAGAACCTCAAACAGTATGATCCCAACGGGATTTACACCTTGAAGCGCTTCCGCACGAACCAGATGCTTTCTTTACTTGTACGGGGAGCCAACATGATGGGAATTGGCAGGGACAACTTCAGCCCTACTACTTATTTGAAGAGCGACAGGGATGAAGATGTAAAGGCAATGCACTTTTGTTGCCTGAACGTCCTATGCGAGGTGATCCCAATGGTGACGGGACACCAGCAATTCTCGGTGCTACGACCAACGCCAACTGGACCAGTGGACTTCTTGTACATCGACCCTGTCGGCATTCTGCTAACTCATTCTGATCAGTCAGTCCAGACCATCGCCTTGCTAGTGGATCACAGCATCCAAATGCCTGCGCACTTCATGGACAGATTGAACAGATCCAAGAATGAGAGACAGCAAAACCCGACGACAAGGCGTACGGAAGCCCTACACCACATTTCGGCCGCTGACTATCTTCCTCCAGGTGGTACTTCCATCCTGGACACGCCCGTCACTACGGAGGAACGTGAAAGCGCTTCTTCATCCAAGGGACCTTCAAAAGGGCGTGGAAGAACCGGAGGCGAGCAACATGGTGGCTGGAACACTAATTCCTACCACGACTACATCGCCGCCAAAGGCCGAAACAAAGGCAAGGACAAGGGAAAGCCAAGGAACCCATATCCAGAGGAGAACCTCCGGCCCTGGGAACGCGATCCTACGTCAACGCGAAGATGGTGGCGAGACAACGCCTGATCTTCCTCGCCTATCAATTCGTGACCTCTGAGCTTCGCCCATGGAATGCCATCGCGAATGCTTCTTTCTTCGGTGACGCCTGATTCGTTTGTCATTTCAGGGGATCGTTACTGACGTAGATGAGTGTCACAACGTTTCTAATTGGGATGCAAAGCTCTGATTTTCAATGCCAACGTTGCGGCGGAACATTTTCTGTTGTCCTATCGGGCCATCTTCCGGGTGAGCAGCGTCGGAGACGCAACTCATGGGGGGTGCGAACGGACTGCGATGCCTTGTCAAGTTCTAAGGTGTCACTATAAGAGCTGTGAGCAAGACCGTGTAAAGTGCAAGAGAAGGGGGCACGCTACGCGTCCCTCGACTCTAGGGGGCATGCTACGCATCCCTCATCTTTACCTTTCTATGTGACCGCCAACCCAACGTTTGGCTCAAGTCAATGCCCATAGCTAAGTGCATATGTGTCTTCTATCCTGAGCAATCAGAGGCTTATCCCGTTGCCCACACGACTAAATCCGCCCGCAGGCAGTGAGTGCAAAAGGAACGGCCGCCGGTTCTGCCTGCATAGGATCGCACGTGTGGAAGTACGAGAGAGAGACAGGGTCCAGTTTGTGGAGAGTGCTAGCCAGCCACACCTACATTCATTACAGCTCTGGTGGGGAGAGCAGCAACCAAGTCGAGATCAATCCCCCACGCAAGAACTAGTTTTGATATGTTAGAATATTGATAGTTTCGTACAGTAGCAGACTAGTATATCAATATATTATTAATGCATTCGAACAGTAACATATTTGTATACTTGTATACTTGTATATTTGATATGTTAGCACAACTGGTGCACGGGTACACTAGTATATTGGTGTATTAGTTTACTAGTATGTGTGCTATATTCATGTATTGTCTAGTCATATTTACAAGTCTATCAGTATGTTGGCATATTAGCCTACTAATTTGTCATGTCGGTATACTTGCATGTTGCAGTAGTCGTATATTAGTATACTCGCATATTAGTATAGTATATTCATACATTAACGGGAAGTATATTATTACATTGGTATATGGGTATATGTCTATGCCAAAACATTAGTACATGAATGCACTAGTGTATATATCTGTATCTTAAGATAGTGGTATGTATTTTTATGTACATTAGTATATGCAGGTGTCTATTAGTAAAAAGATTATAGCATTCATATCAATACGAATATACTATTGGTATTCGTAGGAGTTTTAATGTTGATATTAGAATTAAGACTATTCATAGTCGTATTAGCCATAATATAAGTGTTCATGCTGGGAATAGTACTGGCATTCATGAATATTCAACAGATTATCAATATCCGTATCAGTGTTGGTGATAGCATTATTGTTAACACCACAAGAGTTTATGTAGTCGTTCTCGTAGGAGTATCAATACTATTGCAAATATTGATGTTAGTATAAATATTGTGATAAGTATTAGTAGTAGTATTAGCGTTAGTACTATAATATTATGAACACACTTGAAGTATGTGTCACGCTTTCCAGGCAATCAGGCAATGACCAGGAAAATTCGAAGCTGCCAGTTTGAGTATTGGCATCGGCACCAAAACATGGCGACAGTGACAGGCAACATGTTGAAGTTTTTGCACAACCACCGGTGATGCCTTCTGAAACATGGAGTGCGAGGTTTTGGATGGAAGAGCGGAGCCCGAAAGTGAAATCAGAATCCGTTTCGGGTTTCGTGGGGATATAACATGTGAGAACAAATTACAACATGTAGAGCTAAGTAGATGCTAGGTGCAGAAAATACCGCAAATACCAATGATTTTGTATGTAGGTGAAGTCATGTAGAAATCGAAGCATGAGCAGCAGGAGGTAGAAAAAACCATGGTATGGATCATGGGGGGGCGCGTGACCATATATATATATATATATGTGTGTGTGTGTGTACATTCTGCAAGTCGGAATCACAGCAAGATGAGGTGCGTGCCGAATCAGAGCCACGGCTCGAGACGCCCCACCACTGGATCAGACAAATCAGTGTCCGTCCCCTCACCAGAGCGTTGTTTGATATGTCCGCCGGCTTTTCTGAAAAATCGACTGCTGCGATATATCCCTACCTCGACTTCAACTGGTGAAGAGGCGTGAAAGGCTGTCATAGTTAGTCTGTGAAGCAGGGTGGATTGTTGGAAGCGTAGGAGTCATTGGCAAAGCTACCGACACTGTTTGGGGCTTTGGGCTGGACGGGGTCGCCAATCATCTCATCGCCACGACCTTTTGCTCAGCTGTCATGACCTGGTCTGTGTTTGGGCACGGTAGGTAGAAGTAAGAACTATGAAAGTCTGATTGAATGTCGACGTGGTGGTAGGCTGTAGCCATTCATAGTGCCATTCATCATCCGAGAGAGAACACAACAGTTGATTTCGTCCGTGCGTTTTGTTCGTGAGGCTGCGTTCACTAGTTGGAGTGTCGCAAGCGCTGTGCCATCTTCCGCCGCGCGTGCACGTGGCCAAGGCAGGCGACAGGAAGCTCAAGGCAAGCAGGTCATGGTTCTGTGTTGGATAAGGCCCCCGTGAGATTGCTTGAGTTGCTTTCGAAGCACCAGGTCTACGCCCTCAAACATCGAAACTATTCTGGAAGCCGGGCTGAACTCAGAAGCACGAAGAAACCCAATGCCAGGTGCTTACGGATCTGCTGGTGTTCCCGCAGCGCTTCAAGGATGCCGCAGCACGGACGCTGACTCAAGGCCGGATTGAGCTGCTTTGTGTCTAAGATGGAAATGCCGTTTGCTTGACTTTTCATTGTTGCTTCGTGGTCTGAAGGCGTTACCACGCGTGAGTGCATGATGTATCGTGTTGTCGAGCCAAGTGACGAAGCCAACTGATTGCCCAGCCGACGAGCAATCGCTGCGTCTCGTTTCCAACGACGCCAGCAAAGTCGCTTCCTGGAGAGGCGCCGCCGACCTTTGTCGCGAGCTCGGCTCTGAGATGGTGGGATCCAAGCGGTCACAGCTCCTTTTGTCCGCAACGGACGGGCGCGGCACAGTCTCGGCTCGATGGAGAATCCCGGAGACTGTTGCCTTTGACTCTCGCGCCTCGCGCCTGCCGCCCCCCATGCTACCAGGCCGGCGCTCTACCATTCGGCCCTGTTGCCTCCTTCTGCTCTTGGTCCTGGCTAATGCTCAGGGAGAGAGCTGCTCGGGGGAAACATCTCATGGAGAGGGTTGCTCAGGGGAAGCATCTTCACTCCTGGCTAGGAAGCTTGAGACCCATCCGGCCAGCACCGCCAATGACATGACCGACGATCAAACGGAGCACGTGCTGCGTGATGTTGAGGAGGAGGCCTCCATCTTCCCAGACAACGCAACCGATGGCAACACGTCCGGCTTTGAACCACTTGCCTCAAAAATGGAGTTTATCTTCCTCAAGCTGGCACAGCTCGAGACTGTCGTCGAGCTTCAGCAGGTGGAGATCCAGGAGTGGGTCTGGCAAGCGTCGGTAGGCATGCCGTCCCAACTCGACACCACGCCTTACTCCAAGTTTCGAGTCTCCAGTCAACCCCGACTAGTTGTACAACTCGAAGCTTCCAAACACTCACCCAAGTATACACCGCCGTTGGACGACTTGGAGTTGCGGGGCACCCACACATAGATGGAGTGTCGGGCACCTCCAACACTCCTCGAAGCGTGTTGTTTACTTTGTACATTAGATGCAAATGACCTGCATGACACGAGGTTGGTGTGTTTGCAGCTTGATTTTGATAGTGGAAGATATCGGGGCTCGTTTCAGAGTAGTTATTGTTATTGCTGCCTGTTGCATGTCTCTTGACAGTTAGTTACGGAAGCAGACCGGGCCTTTCTTTTCCAGGAGTTGAAAGCTTGCGGAGCCTGCACGAAGCATCAGAGCAGCAGCGCCGTGGAGGCGAAGGCGAAGGAGTCCGCAGTGGAGGCCCAGGCTAAGTCTCGTTCTCGTTCCCATGCGCCGTTGGAGGTGCTGAAGCGCGTCCTGCGCAAGCACGACCGGCAACTTGAGAAGCGCGAGTTTGCCAGCGCTGCCTCGGAGCCGGAGCTGGTGGACTCCGGCCTGGATCCCAAGGAGTCTGCGGCTTCGTTCATCGGCAAGAGCGCCACAGACTCCGCAGAATTGGCAGTGGATCATCTTCTTTCGGGCTGGTACGATATCGGATTTGGGCACAACTGCGCATGGTCCGCGCCCGGACTCGAGATTTCCAAAGAGAAAATCAAGATGAGTATGGGAAGGCAGAAATGCGAGCTGAAGATCACAGGCAACACTTACACAATTTTCGACTTCAAGTTCGATGCTGTGGAAGTGCATTGGCCTGAGCCACTCAAATCGATCATAAGCATTCTGGACTGCAGTGGCAAGGACGCAATCCAATGCTTGGGGATCGACATAATCCAGAAGGTCCCGCCTTTTAACTTTTTGGCCAAAATGGATAAACTGCTAGTGGAATTCATCCAGGTCTTTGCCAGGATCGCTTCAAGCATGGCCAAGACGGTTACGCAGGGAAAGACGTCCATGATCCAAGCGGCTGTGAGATCCGAGTTCCCAGCCGTGGGCGCTGCACCGGTGCTGCACCACTCGGCGAGCAATCTTCAGATCCGCACGCACACTCAGCAGGCGCACTCGCAACATGTGCTTTCTAGGCGAAAGCGGGAGATGTCAACGCTGCAGCAAGCCCCTGGCGACGGTGACGATGACGAAAAAAAACTGCCGAGGATAGTCTCGGTCGGCTTCACCGCAAGCGATGCAAGCTACCGTTCCAAGCTTATCACGCAGTTTGGTGGAAGCGAGTTTGACACGAGTTCGTGCTTGGCTTTTGCACCTAAGACTAGGTCCGGCAGAAACAACAGGACCAGAATGAAGGATTGGCAGGTGAAGGGGGACCCAAATGGGTTTATTCAGCTTGAACCATTTGCCTTGCCCTGCAGCCCCACGTTTCTGCTAAACCACTGGGACAAGTGGGAGGGCTACTCCGTTTACGGCTGGAACCTACCTGTGGAGAGGTGTCTCAGCGTCAGCTACGGATGGGCTATGGACCCGGTGCTTTCCTTCGCAGCAGGCTTGAGCTTCTCCTTCCTCAAAGAGTTCTTCTCGTTTGGTTTATCGATTTGCTGGCCCGACTTCATGCCCGGCGGCTTTCACGTCACCTCCGTAACTGCCCAGGCGCGTTTCTTGGGCACCAGGGTGGCAAGCATCACCTTCCGCAACACGCGCTTCCGCTTCCGCCCGGATATCCCTGACCAACGGGATAACCACGTGACTTTCGGCTCAGCCATGATCCCGATGGGACTACCTCGTGATAGCAGATTTCAGAACACCCGAGGCTTGGACCCATTCCCGAGGTCCTGGCTCCAAAACGCCAGCAACACGCGGCATGCACAGAACATCTCTCAGACAGACTCCGAGGACGACGCGGGGTGGGCCACGCACGTGGAGGACCTCTACTTGGCAACCGTAGAGGTGGCAGATGGCTTCAACATCACGAAGACCTCAGAGTTGCGAGGCGAAGAGGTGTTGCACCGCATGGCGGCTATGAGTGTCTTGCAGGATAGCGACAGTTCTTCGGGGAATTTCCACCAACTCTTCAAGTTCAAGGTCTCTGGGTTGGTCAGCTTTGACATCCAAGGCCTGTTGGAGGACAGCAAGATAGACCTCGTCACATCTTTCAAGTTTGGAGACTTTGGAGTAGACTCAGGCAGGCTTAGACTCTTTGACATTGCCGACCTGACGCGGGACATTCTGACCTCTATGAATCTCCCATCCAGCGAGATTGACAAGGCCGTTAGCGCCATGAGCAACATCACGAACAATGACGTCATCAAGCGTGTGCCGCCCCCGATGATAAAGCCCGGCAACCAGATCGCACTGAAGAGCAAGCTACACCAGCGCTACGTTCGTATGTCGCCCACTGGTGTGGACTCCCAAACCCAAGACACCAACCAAGATGCGGACGATCTAACTTGGGAGCGCTTCACGGTCGTAGATGCGGGGAATGGGCTGATTGCGCTGCACTGCACGGCACACAACCGCTTCGTACGAATGACGGATAGCAAGGTGGATGCGAGTCCAGTCCGAGCAATCTCCGACTTAACTGCGGACCAGCTTTGGGAGCGCTTTCGAGTTGTCGAGCTGGCCAAGAATCAGATCGCCTTGCACAGCCCTGCCCACAATCGCTTCCTCAGCGTGTCGCACGAAGGATTCGTCTCCCGCAGCGGGCAGACGGCTTGGAACCAGCTGCCGGCAAATTGGCAGTGGGAGCGTCTCAGCGTGGTGCCGCTGAACACTGCCCTCCAGCCCGGCAACATGGTTGCCCTGCACAATGCCCAAGTCCGAAGGTTCCTGAACATGGGCCACCAGGGCGATATGGGTTGCAGCGGGCATTCTTCTGGCGCAAGCCTCCCAGGCAGCTGGACTTGGGAGCGATTCACAGTTGTGGATGGTGGGAACGGCACGATTGCGCTCCACAGCGTCTCCATGAACCGCTTTGTGAAGATGTGGGGCAGCGACATGACTGGGAGCCCTCTTCAAGATGCCAGCCCTTTGCCAAGCAGCTTCACGAGCGAGAGATTTTCCCTGAGGTACTTCCCAAGCTCAGGCGGAGAAGACGTCGCCTTGCACAGTGCGAAGCACAATCGCTTCGTCCGCATGACGGAGAGTGGGGGCTGGTGTGGGGTCGACACCAGCGCCCAGACGAACTTGCAGGACCTGCCCTTAGACGATGCGCAGTTGAAGTTCAAGGTCTTGAAGATCGATGGCCCTACCAAAGCCAGCGATGCCGTGTACTCCTTCGATGCCCTCTGAGCCAGGCCTGCTGATGGTGCCTTCAAAACATAGTCCTGTCTCCCCTGAAGTCGATCCGCCTGGGGCTTTTTTTCGGAGGGGGTTGGGAGTGAGTCTGAAGATTTGAAGGGCGGGGGTCGCTGAACGATAGAGTTCCAAGGTCGGAAGAGCATCGGAAGCATGAGCATTGCATCAGAAGCAAGCACGCGATATAGGGCCTCAATAATTCCCCACACTATTTTGGGGGTACCTTACTACAACTATAATCCCTATTCTAATTATCAAGGCCCCCAAAAGTAAGCGGGGTTTGCATGAGGCTGGGGGCCCTCATTTCCGCCAGCCTTTGCAGGGCTCTTTGAGCTCAGATGCCCGAGAGAAGCTCCTCCATTTGCTCGAAGCAGCGCAAAAACGCACCGCAAAACGACGAAGCCCCAAAACCGCTTATGAAGACGAAGCCCTATAAACTTTACTCCAAACCCTGAACATTTACGAGTACCCCTGTGGAAAACTCCTACATGCTCTCAGGACCTGCAAAGACCAGCTCCTGGGAGATCTCCGGATCGTGGCTCAAAAAGAGCTTCAGCGTTGAGAAAGTTCAGGAAAAAGGGCACAGAAGGCCGGATGCGGCGACACCGACGACCGCCTCTGTGTTTTCCTTCCTTTAACATCGTAAATTCCACGTCCCGTATCCATCCGCCTCTCAAAGCCTTCCAGGCACGTACCCCTGAACCTACACGTAGCTGCCGTATGTGCTTTGGGATTGTTGTGTACAGACCCTGCAGACGCAGACCCCTACAAAGCACGTCCCTTGAAGGAGACCCCACTCAAGAACCCTATATCGCCTACAATACCCTTAACGGGGACACCCATTAGAGAACCCCGTAGTGCCCGTAAAGGACTCCCAGCAGGGAACCCGGCGTTTCTCAGGCGGCCCATCATCATCAGCTGCACGCACGCAGCCGCGGCCACGTCGTCGTTCCCGGGCTGCAAGGCGGCTTTCTTCAAGGGTTCCGTAAGGGCTTCTAGAGCAGTTTCCACTGATGTGGGTTTTTCATGACTCGTTGGGAGTTCCGGCTCCGACCCCATTGACATGACGAAAGCCCCCAATCTCAACACACCCCAAAACCCTAAATCCGGCACCCGTATGGTACCCTCGAGCAGCGGTCGTGAGCAAATTGAAAAAAGGACGAGCCCACCCCCTTTGAGAACCTTTATAGCAACTTCGGGGCAGACAAACCACCGTAAAACCTCGAAATTTCGGTGTGGGGGCGGAGTGGATGGCCCCAGATCCTAAACTTCTAAACCCAAAACAACACAACACCGGAAACCCGAACCCCACAGCCCAAAAGCACCCTAAACCCTGTGGCCCCCAAACCTTAAACCCTTAGTAGGAACGCTTGAGATCGCAACGAAGCCTTCCTGAGCCCCTGTAAGAAACCGGGTTGTCCTGGAAAGGTAGCCGTTCCCCGGTGGAAGGGTCATGAACTGTACTCGTGGGGACGTGGGTGACCACACCTTTTCCGGGCTTCAGAGTTTAAAGTTTTGAGTTCTACCAGGGCTCTATGAAGGTTCTAAATGGGTTCTATGAATCTTCATCACTTTAAGGGTTCAGTGGCTGGGAGATTTGAGGATGTAAAAATCGGGCTAAGAGCTCCACAGTGCAGGGAAGGCTGCAGGATTGATTTTTCTGAGCATATAAAGTCTTCTCGCATTGCTTCTAAGCCTCTAAGCATGCAAGTGTTTTGTATCTACGCCGGGTTAAACGGCCACATGGACTATCTTATATTAAACACTAGATTATTCTCCACCTCTCGGTGTTGGATCAAAAAGGGTTTGAAGAAAACCAGCCACATTGGCTAGAACGCCCATAAGACCCTGGCTGGTGGGGTTCCATGCTTCCTGGACCGAGGCGCCGTCTCGCTTCTGCCACTTGTCCACTTTGGCGGCGCCTGCCTCGTCCCGGCTAAGGTGTAGGACCTCTGCTGGGGCTTAGGGTTTCTCTGGTAACACAGCTGCAAAGGATTGTAAAGGGCCATGGAAACCTTGTGGAACCTCATGTATAAACCCCTCCAAGAATCAGGGTGTCAAAGGGCTTCTAGTGGGGAACCCCCTAGATTCCTCAAGGATTCCTTGAAGGGTTCCGAAAAAAGAGTGTCCCTGGTCGAGGAGAAGCGCGAGGAGCGGCTGCAGTTCCACACAGAGAAGAAGGCCCTGGCCTGGGCGCCGAAGCACTTTCCCAAGGTCGGGCGGGGGGGGAGCTGCTGTCCGGGACCAGGGGCTAGGGTTGAGGGTCTGGGGCTGCAGTTTGGGGTTAAGCGGAAGACGCTGGTTCTGTTGCAACACGGCCCGGGCTTGAGGTTGATTTTAGGGAGGATCTTGGGTTCGCAGTACCGGAGGAGTCTTCATTGTTCGGATGCCATACATGATTTGTCGAACGTAGGTTTAAGGGTTTCGGATCTAAGAGGGCTCCTTGACTCGCTCTGTGTTTCCAAGCGAAATCGTTGAAAATTCGACTCCATGTTACAAGACGGACGTGGCTCAAACGATTCAGCGTTCAACTTCGAACCCATCAGTTGCGTCCAGTTTTGAAACCACGTTTTGACGGCCTCCGGGAATATATATATATATATATATATATATATATATATATCAATACATATATATATATATATATATATATATACATACATATGTATATGTGTATATGTATATGTATATGTGTATGTGTATATGTATATGTATATGTGTATGTATGTATATGCATATATATATATATGTTGATATATATATATATATATATATATATATACATATAAACGGTCCGAGAAGAGGTGGCCTCGAAAGCCTGCGGCCCGACCCTGCGGATCTTGGACCAGGCGGAGTGGCGTTGGGTTTTTGGCCGGTTTAGGCTTCAAGGTTTTGGGTTCAGGGTTCCGGGGTTCAGAGTTTAGGATTGGGATTCCAGGGCTTTACAAGCTTTCTGTGTTGCGTTTCGGAGCTCGGGATGAGGAGTACAGCATCGTTACACGCGCACCTACCGGATCCCCTGGCCCTGCTGAGAACTGAAGGCCTACCCCCACTGCCTCCCCCTGACTTGGGTGGCTATCCGGTCACCCGTTTCGCCCCGCTCCCCGCTCCAGCCCAAATTCATGAGTGCCACTGCATGCCCGCATCAGGCCCGGTGTCCGCACAGGTACTGGGTGTGTCATGGTGTGTCTAGGTGTTGCGGGATGTGTTGAATTCTGAAAGCTGAGGGTCTGGAGTGCTTCGGCTTTGTGAGCCGCGGTATCCGAGAACATGCTATCCAGGCACATCGAAAAGGTTTGGACTGCATGTTCCCGAGGCAGACCCCTCCCAGACTTGACCCGATCATACCGGCTACATCCTTCGATCGTATCCCCGTGCAGAGTAGGCGCAAGGTGCTTCTGGAGCTGCCGCTCGCACCATTTTCCGCCTTTGCGAGTAAATGCCCTAACGTTCATCCGAACACAGTTCGCAGACAAAGTAGCATCGGTCTTTGTTGTAGCAGGAATCAGGGAGCTGGATCACCCAAGTTACCTCATGACCGCCAGCTGCCTGTTTCAGGCCCAGCATGAACTCACCGCAGGCAATTGCTCATGTGGCGATTGCTGGTGAGTGCTGTCATGAAGCCGAGAACGTTTCACGGGCGGTTACTGCCCAGAACGCGGGAGTGCACTGCCTTCCTTTGTGAGGGTATGTGTGTGAAATCGGTAGGCAGTGATGATGCTTGGACCGTGTAGCGAGATGTAGGCCACGCTCAGTGGTCTAAGCGCAAAAGACGCCCTCTGCATGTGGGTGGTTGTCAAAATTATGGTCCTTTTTTGGGTCCTTAATATAATACGGCACCTAACATTTAGGGTGCCCAAGTAGGGACCACAATTTCGACAACTACCCATGTGAAAGCGTGGAAGTCGTTGGCAGGGCAACACTGTTTGTGGATTTGGGCTGGACAGGGTCGCCAATGATCTCGTCGCCACGACTTTTGGCTCAGCTGTCATGACCTGGTCCGTGTTTCGGCATGTTAGAACCATGAAAGTCTGATTGAACGTCGACATGGCCATTCATGATCCGAGAGAGATTGCGCACAACAATCGATTCCGTCCGTGCGTGTAGTTTGTTAGGCTGCAATCACTAGTTGGAGAGTCGCAAGTGCCGTGCCATCTCCCGCCGCGCGTGCGCGTGGCCAAGGCAGGCGGCAGGAAGCTCAGGGCAAGCAGGTAACCAGGTATTTTAGATGGTTTCATGTTGGAGAAGGCACGCGTAGACTCTTGTCGCTGCTTGCATGTGACGAGAATTGAGGAGACTGTATGATCCTTGCATGACCATCTGTCAGAGCCCAGACGATGAAAGGATCGCCAGAAACTTGTTGAATGTTTGGGGGTGGCAGGCAACTTCTGGATCCAGCTTTGGCGTTCAAGAGGTGTCGTTTGGCCGTGTTTGCTCAGCTGCTCCCGGGGGGGTGATCCCCCTCACCACCGAAGCTCCAGTCCCAAAGCCCCAAGAGGCGCTAACCCTGAAGGCCTCATCCCAGACCCCTCGACCCCGGAACCGGTAGCTTAGGCTCAGCAGCCCCTGCCTTGCCAGGGAGCAGCATGGAGGACTCCGATGAGAAGGGGGAGGCGAAAGAGGCGCATCCAGCAGAGCGACCCCTGCAAAAGAGTCTCAAATCAAGAGATCTGCCTTGCTTGCTGAGAGCCTCTTTCAAGCATCGGGGGGGAGACGTAACCATAGCTTTGCATGAGCTCCTATAATCCCTAAGCCTCAACTTGAAACCCTGAATCCTGAACATTACTGAAGACCAAAGCTTTCTCGCTCTTTGCTCCGTTTACCTTGGTGCACCCGAGAGCGCCTGAGTGGTGCGCTCAGGGCACCTGCAGCTTCCTCACCTCGCGGTGCCGGCTCCTGACGCGTGGGACTGAGTCCTGGGGTTTGGGGGCTGCAAGGGTTTGGGGTTTGGAGTCTTCACAAGTTAGGGGTTCAAGAAGAGTTCAAGAAAAACCTTGTAGACGCCCTCTACTGGACACCATCGACCGCTGGAACGCTTTTCTCTCGTCTCGTCAGCTGAAGGCGAAACCCGCAGCTCTGGAAGGCGCGCGCTTGGTTGCCTCAGAGTCCTTGACAAGACTGTTTTCTTTGAGTGTTCGGGATAGGCTTCGAGAATCCTCCGACTTCCGTGTGCCTGCTTCTGCTTTCGTGGGGGGCGTGAAGTTTGAGAGGGCGAAGGGGTGTCAGCTTGCGCAGGGCTGAAAGAACTTTTCCGGAGTCTACTTGCTGGCCCCCCCGTTCTATCCCTTGTGAGGACTCTAAAGAGAGACCGATGAAACAAATCCCTTAGACTTAGACCCTACGGCCGATACGGCCGAAGGCCGACGGGCCGAAGGCCGACGAGTCTGAGAGACCACTCCCGGCTCCGCGTCTTCTCTAAGAGAGACTCGGGACTCGATCCGCTCCCGGCAGCTCCTTGGGACTCCTCGGTTCGGGGGCAGACGGAGCCGGCGGGCTCCCCTTCGCCTTGGCAGCTCTGGAGACCGGGTATCCGGCGTATCCTTCCAGCATCCGGTTTCTGCCTCTTGCTATGAGCGACACCTATTTACGCCAGTTTGGCCAGGAGGTCATCGGCCAAGAAATTTGGCGATTGGGGTTCGGGCTCACCACCCTTGTCTTGATGCCATAGCCCAGCAGCAGAGGACAAAGAAAGCAAGGCCTTGGTCTTGGTTTCTTCGCTGCCGCAGAGACTTCAGCTGCATTCAGCTGCAGACCGTGGTCCCTGACGATATCCAAGAAACGGCCAAGGAATTGCTCTGGCCGCTCTGGGGCCGAAGTAGGCGATCACGTTCGAGCCTATTGCACCAAAAGAATTATACTTTTCCAGCAGTTTCCTTCTTTAGGATCCTATAAACCCTATATAACCCCCGAACCGAGACCCACACGAAAGAGGCCCATACTTGAGATTTTGTGGAGTGCAGGTGCTCGTGGCCTCTGGCCTGCAGATGGCAGCGGCCACCCTGCCGGACACCTTCGCGACCGCCTGAGATGGTCTCTTCATGTGTGAAGTAGGCTTTGGTACATGGGGTTTTTGGAGAGTGCGAAGATTGGTGAACGAATCTCTCGGGCCTTCTTTATCAGACCCCAACCTCCAAAGCCTGAACCAAGAAACTCTGAGCCCTACTTTGAACCTGAAAGCAGCGCAAACCCCAGGGCCCTGTAAAGAACCCGCCGGCTTCGGAGGTGCTTTCCTTGCTTCGAGCCCGGGTCTGGGGCCCGGCCCTCAGCGCTCCGGGAGCCTCGGATCGGATGTTTAGGGCTTTGGATTTACAGCTTCGGGGTTGAGGATTCAGGGGCTTAGGGGCTTAGGGATTTTAGGGCTTCGGGGTTTGGGCTTCGGGCACAGCACTCCTCTTAAAGCCTTTTGCGACGTGACGCAAGCCATGATCACACCCATTCTTGGGCAAAGGGAAGAACACTTGGGAAGTCATTTTCGGGTGCTGGATGTCGCTGCAGCTTTTTTCCTTATCGGATAAGAGGTTATTGTTTGGGATGTGCGGGGAATCTTATCTTGCGGTTTAGGAAGTATGGGGCCGGGTCACTTCTACTGTATGCTGTAGGCGGCATTATCGCCAATGTGCTTCCTTTCTGGCTGAGGCAATCACATGTCCGAGTACATGTCATACGCAGCAATCGGGATCAATTCCGCCCTGAGCTCAGACCTGTGGCGAGACATCGGGCTTAATGTTGGGCGTGGATCACGCCAAATCGTTACAGCCCTAAGGCTCACACCCTATAACCCTGGTGCTTGGAGTCACATCAATGACACGAAGTGGCGGCAGATTCCGCAGTGGCCCTGAATCATGACGCTTTTTTTCGGACCGGTCGTAGCAGCAATTCTAGCCTCGGGCAAGCCGAGTCAAGAACACGCCTCATAACATGTTCAAGGGCTGAATGGGATTGTTTCGTTTGCGAAAAGAGGTTCTGGAAAATGCACGGGCGTAATACTCCATTCCTCACTGTTAGAGAGTCCAACATCCCTGAAATTAATGTAGCGGCCTGAATCTTTACCAACTGACATCTTATTCCTTTAGCCTCTGCGACAAATCTTACAAGCCACCAAACTGCTGTCAAAGCCACCGGGCAAAAAGCAAGAAGTATTGAGTTCCCTACCAAGATCCAAAAAGCCCCACTACGGCCCCTTCGAATCCTAGATTTTCCCGAAATCAAAGAAGAGCCCGGCATCAGGTGGCTGTGATCTTCGGTGGGCCCTATGGTCGTTTTAGTGCGGAGACCCAGATCACCAAGCTGCTCTTTCACGGGCCACAGAAGCGATTTTTCTTGAGAGTAGGGTCTGCTGCCAGGTATGGGGATATCGGGGCCCTCTTAAGGAGGGGACAGGATGACGTCGGGCTCAATATTCGCGTCTTACTCGTCTTGGCCTGGATATTTACCCTGGCTTGCCTGTCATCTGTGCTGTGATGCCTTGCAAATTCATGCCTATTTCGCCTGTTTCCCATCACTGTGCGTGCGTCGCAATGCTTGTCTGCAAATCATTTCTGCAGCTGCCGTGAACCGGGCATGTGACCGTTCTTGATAGTGCGCGCGAAGAACTAAACTTGCCGACTTTCTTCAACCCTCAAGGAACTCTCCAAAAAACTATTGGAAGCTTTTGAAGAGCCACCAGAATGTAAAAATGCAACGCTGAATCCTAAACCGTAAGCCCTACGACGCCCAAAACCCCTAGCTCGGGCCCGCCTGAGACTTCTCCCTCTCAGGGCCTTCTGATCAGCACCGTGGTGAAGGTGGTTGGGTCCTACGGCCTCACCAGCGGCCGGCTGAGTTGCAGCTTTCTTGAGATTGCTTGCGAAGCCCTGAATACGCGCGAAAAACCAAAATCCCTTGGCTGGGAATCAATGCCTCTGTAGTCGAATCCCTTGCACTGCCTTTCAAACCACACCCCAGGCACAGCCATCAGGGCTCTGCCCCCCGAGCTCTCCTGAGGCAACGTGATGCTGGCGCTCATCAACGACGTCACCGCCGCAGAGGCCGCGCAGCTGCTGTAGAGAGACCGGAGCGGAGGGCGGGTTTAGGGGACTGCACTTACACCCTGCAGATGTCGGCCGCTGAGATTGTTAGTCCTGCCGCGGGACGGCTGCAGATCTGCTGCGACTTTGAGATACTTTGAGACATGAGCCTTGAAAGAGTCGGAGTCAGGATCGAGAAAAGGCGGCCTGGTTCCCGGAATCCCAGGGCCCCCTCTTGGTCAGGTGATCTTCATTTTCGCCCACCTTCAACGTCAACGACGTTGGAGGTACGCTTCGATCTTTGGGAGGGTGTGGGAGGGTTTTTAGGGTTTAGGACGCGACGCGTGTCTAAGAGTGGGCGCACGGTGGACCTCATCTTCAGCGAGAGGCACACGTTCTGCGCTCCCGCCCCGCCCACCCCCCGCCCTTCCCCCACATCACGCGTCTAATGCAGTAAAGTGGCGACGCACGGAGATCAAGGACATCGGCGAGAGGCGCCCGTTTTGCACTCCCCACCCCCTCCCCATTGTAACGAGCCATAGAGAGGGGCACCGACCCAAGGAACGTCGAGATGGCTCCCCTAGTACTCACTAAATGCCACACTAACTGCATCCGGTAGTCACGTGCTGTGCGTGTGAGTGTTGGGTGCGCTTCTCGCTCGTGGCCGGCATCCATCGACCCTTCGGGGTGGGAGCGGACATGGTCCCTCTCGGTGCTGTCCCGGCGGGTCGCTACATCTCAACCTCCAGGACCTAAGTGTCGGTCGGGCGTAAGGTGAGGAACGGGACTAATGAAAAAATGAGGCTCCACCCCCGATTTTTCAACCCCCTGTCAGGCGGTGCCTCGGTTTATATTCATACGCGCGAACGAACTGTTTGGGGTCTTCTGCGTTTACGCGTAATCGCACTTTCTGGGGTCTACTGAGGGGTTCTCGATTTGTTGTGGATCTTTTGAGGCATTGCTGGGCGTTCGTGGCATCAGAGAGGGCGCTGCAAAAACGCTTGGAAGTGATTGGATGTGCCCCGGTAATGGGTGGGTTACCGGGGCGGGGCGTGCATTTGTTAGGATCGCAGTTCGCGCAGCATGTCGATTTTTGTCTCATTACGTTTGTGGGCGTTGGAAAAACTCATAAACACATTGTTTAAAATTGCTCTGGTCAGGTCTTGTGAGCGTTACTCGCAGTGGGAGAAGCCACGCACCCTCCCGAGGCACCACCCCCGCTTCCCGCAGCCCCCCCATTTGCAAATAGTGTGCTTGTACGCCAGACTTTTGTCGACACTGTGCTTTCATCAGAGATTTTGAGCGGGGGGGTTGGGGGGGGCGCAGCCCCCCCCCACAGCAACAACAACATTTCAAACAAGTGGCAAGAAAGTCACGGCTGACAGCATTCATTACTCAGCAGAGGCGCTTCAGAGCTCGCTTGCCTCGTTCGATGACGAGAAGGCTCAAAACCTGCTTGAAGTGTTTGGGCCACGCACCCGGGATGACATGATCGCCCTCAACCCTAAAGTCAGCCTCGAGCTGCGTAGCAGCTGACTGTTGGGGAGTCTTTTGGGGGCAGGTTCACGGGTTTTGCAATTGCAGTAGCGCAACTCCCTGCATATGAGAATCATTTTGGCACAGATTCTTTTCAAAGAGGATCCCATTCTTCGCAGCAATTCCTTGGGGAGTCGTTCAGAGCTACTTGTCAGCGGAAATGGTCGTGATCCGGAACGAGTCCACTCTTGCTGTGGCCGTGTCTTGCGAAGTCATGCCCATGGGCACCAGGATGCAATACAAGAATGTGCTAGAACCAGGTGAATCATGGCATTACGTGACTGGTGTTGGCGTTGATCGCGTGCGGGTCATCGCCAATTTTGACAAGGAAGAGATCTTTGGCGTTTGGGGTACTTTGCTTCCATGGGCGGTCCTTGGAGGGACTGTGGCTCTTGCTGCCGCCACGGCGGGCGCTGCACTCATCCCTGGCGCCACTATGGGTCAAGCAGCAGTGGCTCCAATGGCAGCTGAGATCAGCACCACTGGAGTTATGGTCCTCGCAGGAGGGTCAACTGCCGTTAAAGGCATTGCAGCTGCCGCCCTGGTTAACATGAACAAGTATGGCGAGAACACCAAGACCCTGGTCGTTTGCCCGTTCATGAATGACGACCTCGTAATTACTGGTCACGGAACAAGAACTGTGGAGAATGGTGTAGTGACGGATGTAAATTTTCCACGGCCCTTGACCATCGACTCTGCGAGAAATTTAAAGGTGTAAAGCTTGCACAGGCAGTTTGTACAGGTTTGTGCTACGCTTGCACTGCACCTTGAGACACGGAAACATCCGCCAACGCAAATTGAAAATGCGGCTTCCCTGTCTGCATAATCGCTAGGTGACTCTCGACTCTATATACCACCAGTTCACATTAGACACTCTCGGGCCTTTATGGCGGCGCAGAAACTTTGAGCTAACCCTTCCTTGAGGTGGCGCAGCTGTGGGACCGCATCAACTACCTGGAGAAATGTTGCAGGATTTGCGGTCTTGCATTGTTCCCCGAAAAGCATCGGTTTCTGCAGCTTGGGGCCTCCCAAGCCCAAGTTACTAGTGTTCAAGAACAACTTACCGAAGGCATTCGTCATTCAAAAACCTATCTCTTCAGACAGATGAGGTGTAGGAGTGGTCTGATGTGAGAAGCGAGGAATTTCCAGAAGAAGCTGGATGCACGACCCATCATTGCCAAGCGCCAACAGGCTGTGCCAAACACGATTGGTTTTCTCTTGTGTGCACTACTTGTCGATTTGTGGCAGCTTCCCTTGCTGTATTGCTTCTGCCCTCGCTCTGCTGGCGTAGTCGTGCGGTCTTCAAGCGAGGCACAGGGCCGCTGAATCTCGAAGGTGGCGGTAGAAGCTCCATTGCAGGCTGGGGCAAGTTTGTCATTCCGGTTGCTGTCGTCGCAGTTAATTACATGCGCAGCCTAGTTGCTCCCACAGCTTCCGCAACACATGCACAACATGTAAGTCTTGCAAGCTTACAGCCCAGAGCAGTTGTGCACCAGCAGAGGTACGCCGGCTTTTGAGCCATGGCTCCGGGATGCCGGTTCCCCATACAAAACACATAGCAGGCACCAAGCACATGTGACTTGAAACTAACATTCGTTTCTAACATTGTGGTATGATAGAACCTAATTACAAGAAAGCTTGAACATGCACCTCCACAAAACGTCGCACCGCAAAACGACGAAGCCCCAAAACCGCTTATGAAGACGAAGCCCTATAAACTTTACTCCAAACCCTGAACATTTACGAGTACCCCTGTGGAAAACTCCTACATGCTCTCAGGACCTGCAAAGACCAGCTCCTGGGAGATCTCCGGATCGTGGCTCAAAAAGAGCTTCGGCGTTGAGAAAGTTTAGGAAAAAGGGCACAGAAGGCCGGATGCGGCGACACCGACGACCGCCTCTGTGTTTTCCTTCCTTGGACATCGTAAATTCCACGTCCCGTATCCATCCGCCTCTCAAAGCCTTCCAGGCACGTACCCCTGAACCTACACGTAGCTGCCGTATGTGCTTTGGGATTGTTGTGTACAGACCCTGCAGACGCAGACCCCTACAAAGCACGTCCCTTGAAGGAGACCCTACTCAAGAACCCTATATCGCCTACAATACCCTTAACGGGGACACTCATTAGAGAACCCCGTAGTGCCCGTAAAGGACTCCCAGCAGGGAACCCAGCGTTTCTCAGGCGGCCCATCATCATCAGCTGCACGCACGCAGCCGCGGCCACGTCGTCGTTCCCGGGCTGCAAGGCGGCTTTCTTCAAGGGTTCCGTAAGGGCTTCTAGAGCAGTTTCCACTGATGTGGGTTTTTCATGACTCGTTGTTCCGGCTCCGACCCCATTGACATGACGAAAGCCCCCAATCTCAACACACCCCAAAACCCTAAATCCGGCACCCGTATGGTACCCTCGAGCAGCGGTCGTGAGCAAATTGAAAAAAGGACGAGCCCACCCCCTTTGAGAGCCTTTGTAGCAACTTCGGGGCAGACAAACCACCGTAAAACCTCGAAATTTCGGTGTGGGGGCGGAGTGGATGGCCCCAGATCCTAAACTTCTAAACCCAAAACAACACAACACCGGAAACCCGAACCCCACCCAAAAGCACCCTAAACCCTGTGGCCCCCAAACCTTAAACCCTTAGTAGGAACGCTTGAGATCGCAACGAAGCCTTCCTGAGCCCCTGTAAGAAACCGGGTTGTCCTGGAAAGGTAGCCGTTCCCCGGTGGAAGGGTCATGAACTGTACTCGTGGGGACGTGGGTGACCACACCTTTTCCGGGCTTCAGAGTTTAAAGTTTTGAGTTCTACCAGGGCTCTATGAAGGTTCTAAATGGGTTCCATGAAGCTTCATGACTTTAAGGGTTCAGTGGCTGGGAGATTTGAGGATTCAAAAATCGGGCTGAGAGCTCCACAGTGCAGGGCAGGCTGCAGGATTGATTTTTCTGAGCATATAAAGTCTTCTCGCATTGCTTTTGAGCCTCTAAGCATGCAAGTGTTTTGTATCTACGCCGGGTTAAACGGCCACATGGACTATCTTATTTTTTCTCCACTAGATTATTCTCCACCTCTCGGTGTTGGATCAAAAAGGGTTTGAAGAAAACCAGCCACATTGGCTAGAACGCCCATAAGACCCTGGCTGGTGGGGTTCCATGCTTTCTGGGCCCAGGCGCCGTCTCGCTTCTGCCACTTGTCCACTTTGGCGGCGCCGGCCTCGTCCCGGCTAAGGTGTAGGACCTCTGCTGGGGCTTAGGGTTTCTCTGGTAACACAGCTGCAAAGGATTGTAAAGGGCCATGGAAACCTTGTGGAACCTCATGTATAAACCCCTCCAAGAATCAGGGTGTCAAAGGGCTTCTAGTGGGGAACCCCCTAGATTCCTCAAGGATTCCTTGAAGGGTTCCGAAAAAAGAGTGTCCCTGGTCGAGGAGGAGCGCGAGGAGCGGCTGCAGTTCCACACAGAGAAGAAGGCCCTGGCCTGGGCGCTGAAGCACTTTCCCAAGGTCGGGCGGGGGGGGAGCTGCTGTCCGGGACCAGGGGCTAGGGTTGAGGGTCTGGGGCTGCAGTTTGGGGTTAAGCGGAAGACGCTGGTTCTGTTGCAACACGGCCCGGGCTTGAGGTTGATTTTAGGGAGGATCTTGGGTTCGCAGTACCGGAGGAGTCTTCATTGTTCGGATGCCATACATGATTTGTCGAACGTAGGTTTAAGGGTTTCGGATCTAAGAGGGCTCCTTGACTCGCTCTGTGTTTCCAAGCGAAATCGTTGTTGAAAATTCGACTCCATGTTACAAGACGGACGTGGCTCAAACGATTCAGCGTTCAACTTCGAACCCATCAGTTGCGTCCAGTTTTGAAACCACGTTTTGACGGCCTCCGGGAATATATATATATATATGGTAGTTGATCTAAAGCTCCTTGTGGTATAGTTTATATGAACGGCCAACTGCATAGCTAAATATGCCTTCGCGAAAGTTCCGCGATGGTGCGGCGAAAGTTACTTTAATTTTTGCGAAAGTTATGTGTTGACCTACTGTTATTGTTACTATTGCTATTACTATTGCTATTACTATTACTACTGCTATTGCTACTACTTCAGAACTGGTGCAAGTATAGGCTTGCGCTAAAATGGCATGATAGTGTGGCTGTTATGCACCTTGGACCCTCGACTCCAACCACTCTTGATGACTCCGCGGTGGGTTCAGAACTGCTTGTGTACGTTTCTGTGTAACACAGTAGCGAAGACGAGTTTCCGGTTCACGCTGTGTGCAGTTCCTTGCAGCACTATCGATGCTAAGTGTAAGTAGCGACAAACCCAAAAAATAGGTTCGTGTGGAGGATTTAGCGCGTAAGTTCCGCGCAAGTTCCGCGTAAGTTGCGTTAAACTCGAAGTCGCCAGATCAAGGCCACCTCCCAATGGACATTGTTGGTGCCTTTCGCCAAATCCCTGAATCCCAACCTCAAGCCCGAATTACAAGCTACAAGCTTCTCGATGGCAAGTTTGTACGAGCACTGTAATTAACAGTCTCGCAAGCTTCCTAGAGGTTTGAAGGTTGTGTGAAAGCTACAGTAGTTGGAAAGGCATGGTTAAGGCCGTCTCAAGGTTTGGACTTTTGACGAAACAGTCTTAGGGTTTGGATTTCTGACGAAGTCCCCTGCAGGGTTCTCGATTGCAAGGCTGTTGGGGGGGCATAATCGATTGAGAGTTTCTGGGAGCCTTTCCTACACACTTCAGGGCCTCTGCAAAGTTGCTTCAGGCCGTCTTAGAGGTTGGATTTTGATGAGGACTAAGAACCTTCAAAAGAACCTTGCAAAAAAACCATTTAAGCGCAACCCCGCAGCAAGCCTTAAAAAGAACACTCCAAGGAACGCCGAACGGAACCCTCACAGGAATCAGGTGTCTAGCTTGCAAAGGTATGTAAGTATGCCTCCGCGAAAGTTGCGCGACGGTGGCGCGAAAGTTACTTTTTTATCCGTGAAGAAGGCCATTCCGGGACGAAGCAATTTAGATCAACAACCATATATCAATACATATATATATATATACATATGTATATGTGTATATGTATATGTATATGTGTATGTGTATATGTATATGTATATGTATATGTGTATGTATGTATATGCATATATATATATGTTGATATATATATATATATATGTTGATATATATATATATATATATATACATATATAAACGGTCCCAGAAGAGGTGGCCTCGAAAGCCTGCGGCCCGACCCTGCGGATCTTGGACCAGGCGGAGTGGCGTTGGGTTTTTGGCCGGTTTAGGCTTCAAGGTTTTGGGTTCAGGGTTCCGGGGTTCAGAGTTTAGGATTGGGATTCCAGGGCTTTACAAGCTTTCTGTGTTGCGTTTCGGAGCTCGGGATGAGGAGTACAGCATCGTTACACGCGCACCTACCGGATCCCCTGGCCCTGCTGAGAACTGAAGGCCTACCCCCACTGCCTCCCCCTGACTTGGGTGGCTATCCGGTCACCCGTTTCGCCCCGCTCCCCGCTCCAGCCCAAATTCATGAGTGCCACTGCATGCCCGCATCAGGCCCGGTGTCCGCACAGGTACTGGGTGTGTCATGGTGTGTCTAGGTGTTGCGGGATGTGTTGGAGTCTGAAAGCTGAGGGTCTGGAGTGCTTCGGCTTTGTGAGCCGCGGTATCCGAGAACATGCTATCCAGGCACATCGAAAAGGTTTGGACTGCATGATCCCGAGGCAGACCCTCCCCGAGACTTGACATGCCCTAACGTTCATCCGAACACAGTTCGCAGACAAAGTAGCATCGGTCTTTGTTGTAGCTCCAATCAGGGAGCTGGATCATCCAAGTTACCTCATGACCGCCAGCTGCCTGTTTCAGGCCCATCAGCATGAACTCACCGCGGGCAATTGCTCATGTGGCGATTGCTGGTGAGTGCTGTCATGAAGCCGGGAACGTTTCACGGGCGGTTACTGCCCAGAACGCGGGAGTGCACTGCCTTCCTTTGTGATGGTATGTGTGTGAAATCGGTAGGCAGTCATGTGAAAGCGTAGGAGTCGTTGGCAAGGCGACACTGTTTGTGGATTTGGGCTGGACAGGGTCGGCAATGATCTGGTCGCCACGACTTTTGGCTCAGCTGTCATGACCTGGTCCGTGTTTCGGCATGTTAAAACCATGAAAGTCTGATTGAATGTCGACATGGCCATTCATGATCCGAGAGAGATTGCGCACAACAATCGATTCCGTCCGTGCGTGTAGTTTGTCAGGCTGCAATCACTAGTTGGAGAGTCGCAAGTGCCGTGCCATCTCCCGCCGCGCGTGCGCGTGGCCAAGGCAGGCGGCAGGAAGCTCAGGACAAGCAGGTAACCAGGTATTTTAGATGGTTTCATGTTGGAGAAGGGACACATGAGACTCTTGTCGCTGCTTGCACGTGACGAGCATTGAGGAGACTGTATGATCCCAGACGATGAAAGGATCACTAGAAACTTGTTGAATGTTTGGGGGTGGCAGGCAACTTCTGGATCCAGCTTTGGCGTTCAAGAGGTGTCGTTTGGCCGTGTTTGCTCAGCGCCCCAAGAGGCGCTAACCCTGAAGGCCTCATCCCAGATCCCTCGACCCCGGAACCGGTAGCTTAGGCTCAGCAGCCCCTGCCTTGCCAGGGAGCAGCATGGAGGACTCCGATGAGAAGGGGGAGGCGAAAGAGGCGCATCCAGCAGAGCGACCCCTGCAAAAGGGTCTCAAATCAAGAGACCTGTTTTGCTTGCTGAGAGCCTCTGGATTTGTTGGGATCGGGGGCTTACTTCAAGCATCGGGGGGGAGACGTAACCATAGCTTTGCATGAGCTCCTGTAATCCCTAAGCCTAAACTTCAAATCCTGAATCCTGAACATTACTGAAGACCAAAGCTTTCTCGCTCTTTGCATCGCTTGCCTCAGTGCACCCGGAGAGCGCCTGAGCGGCGCGCTCAGGGCACCTGCAGCTTCCTCACCTCGCGGTGCCGGCTCCTGACGCGCGGGACTGAGTCCTGGGGTTTGGGGGCTGCAAGGGTTTGGGGTTTGGAGTCTTCACAAGTTAGGGGTTCAAGAAGAGTTCAAGAAAAACCTTGTAGACGCCCTCTACTGGACACCATCGACCGCTGGAACGCTTTTCTCTCGTCTCGTCAGCTGAAGGCGAAACCCGCAGCTCTGGAAGGCGCGCGCTTGGTGGCCTCAGCGTCCTTGACAAGACTGTTTTTCTTTGAGTGTTCGGGATCGGCTTCGAGAGTCCTCCGACTGTCGTGTTGCCTGCTTCTGCTTTCGTGGGGGGGGGGGGGGGCGTGAAGTTTGAGAGGGCGAAGGGGTGTCAGCTTGCGCTGGGCCGAGAGAGCGCTTTTCCGGAGTCTACTTCCTGGCCCCCTCCCCCTCCCTCCCGTTCTTCTTCCCCTGTGAAGAAAGACCCCAGGAAAGGAAGCTACCGCCGCCGCCCCCCCAAAAAAAAACCCAATCCCTCAGAGTACGGCTGAAGAGGGGGCCGAAGGCCGAAGGGCCGAAGAAGGGCCGAGTGAGTCGGAGACCGCTCCCGGCTCCGCCTCCTCCTTGGGACGGATCCGGTGGGCTCCCGAAGCCCTCCGCCTGGGGGCAGCTCCCTGGGGACCGGGTACAAACTTCACCTTGGGGTTGAGGGAGAGCTCGGCGATGTCGGCCCAGAGGCCGGAGTCCAGCTGCGTGATCTCCTCGATGACCAGGCAGTCGAGCTCGCAGCTGCCGTTCCGGATGCTCCGGCGCACGAAGCGGTCCGCCGTTTGCGCCCCGGCGCCGAGGTTCTGCACGGAGCAGTGGGTCTTGGACACGAGCTTGACCACCTCCCCGAGCTCGCAGAGCTGCGCCACGATCTGGCGCGCCAGGTGCGTCTTCCCGGTGCCGGGCATGCCCGAGAGGAGCAGGCTCTTCCCGTTCAGGCAGTGCAGGAGGGGGTCCTCCACTGCGGCGTATTTTTTGCAGCGGCCGGTTTCACTCTGCCTCTTGCTATGAGCGACGCCGATTTGCGCCAGTTTGGCCAGGAGGTCATCGACCAAGAAATTTGGCGATTGGGGTTCGCGCTCACGACCCTTGTCCTGAGCAGAGGACAGTGAAGAAAGCAAGGCCTTGGTCTTGGTTTCTTCGCTCCTGCCGCAGAGACTTCAGCTGCATTGAGCTGCAGACCGTGGTCCGCGACGATATCCTATAAACGGCCAAGGAAGTGCTCTGGCCGCTCTGCGGCCGAAGTAGGCGGTCGCGTTCGAGCCTATTGCACCAAAAGCGTTATGCTTTTCTGGAATTTTCCTTCTTTTGGATCCTAAACCCTAACGGCCCTAACCCCCGAACCGAGACCCACCAAAGAGGCCCATGCTTGAGATTTTGTGGAGTGCAGGTGCTCCTGGCCTCTGGCCTGCAGATGGCAGCGGCCACCCTGCCCGACACCTTCGCGACCGCCTGAGATGGGCCCTTCATGGATGTGAAGTAGGCTTTGGTACATGGGGTTTTTGGATAGTCCAAAAAACTGGGTGCCGCAGGAAGATTGGTGATGATTGCTGAACGAAGATCTCCGTCTCTTGTATCCAACCCCAACCTCCAAACTCTCCAAACCCTAAGCCTGAAAGCAGCGAAAAAACCCCAGGGCCCTGTAACAACCGCCGGCTTCGGAGGTGCTGTCCTTGCTTCGCGCCCGGGTCTGGGGCCCGGCCCTCAGCGCTCCGGGAGCCTCGGATCGGATGTTTAGGGCTTTGGGGTCTTAGGGGCTTTGGGTTTAGGGCTTCGGGGTTGAGGATTCAGGGGCTTAGGGGTGTTAGGGCTTCGGGCACAGCACTCCTCTTAAAGCCTTTTTGCGACGTGACGCAAGCCATGATCACACCCATTCTTGGGCAAAGGGAAGAACGCTTGGGAAGTCATTTTCGGGTGCTGGATGTCGCTGCAGCCTTTTTCCTTATCGGATTAGAGGTTATTGTTTGGGATGTGCGGGGAATCTTATCTTGCGGTTTAGGAAGCATGGGGCCGGGTCACTTCTACTGTATGCTGTGGGCGGCATTATCGCCAATGTGCTTCCTTTCTGGCTGAGGCAATCACATGTCCGAGTACATGTCATACGCAGCAATCGGGATCAATTCCGCCCTGAGCTCAGACCTGTGGTGAGACATCGGGCTTAATGTTGGGCGTGGAGGATTAAGGGTCACGCCAAATCGTTACAGCCCTGAGGCTCAAACCCTATAACCCTGGTGCTTGGAGTCACATCAATGATACGAAGTGAGGGCAGATTCCGCAGTGGCAGTGAATCATGACGCTTTTTTCGGACCGGTCGTAGCAGCAAGTCTAGCCTCGGGCAAGCCGAGTCAAGAACACGCCTCATAACATGTTCAAAGTCTGAATGGGGTTGTTTCGTTTGCAAGAAGAGGTTCTGGAAAACGCACGGGCGTAATACTCCATTCCTCACTGTCAGAGAGTCCAACATCCCTCAAATTAACCTAGAGAGGCCTGAATCTTTACCAAGACTGTTTCTCATACTACTTGTATGAATGCTCGATACTTCACCCCCACACCCGGATTGAGGCTCCTGCGTTAACTGACATCTTATTCCTTTAGCCACTGCCAAAAACCTTGACAAACCACCAAACTGCTGTCAAAGCCACTGGGCAAAAATCAAGACATATTGAGTTCCCTACCAAGAGCGAAAAAGCCCCACTGCGGCCCCTTCGAATCCTAGACTTTCCTGAAATCAAACAAGAGCCCGGCATCAGGTGGCTGTGATCTTCGGTGGGCCCTATGGTCGTTTTAGTGCGGAGACCCAGATGACCAAGCTGCTCTTGCACGGGCCACAGAAGCGATTTTTCTTGAGAGTAGGGTCTGCCAGGTAAGGGGATATCGGGGCCGTCTTAAGGAGGGGACAGGATGACGTCGGGCTCAAGATTCGGGGTCTTACTCTTGGCCTGGATATTTACCCTGGCTTGCCTGTCATCTGTGCTGTGATGCCTTGCAAATTCATGCCTTAGAGCAAAGGGCTCCTTTCGGGGTCGATGATGCAAGCCTTACTTTACGGTTCCGTAAGGGCTAGGGGTTTTGGGCGTCGTAGGGCTTACGGTTTAGTGTGATGGGAAACAGGTCACTGTGCGTGCGTCGCAATGCTTGTCTGCAAATCATTTCTGCAGCAGCCGTGAACCGGGCATGTGACCGTTCTTGATAGTGCACGCGAAGAACTAAACTTGCCGACTTTCTTCAACCCTCAGGGAACTCTCCAAAACACTATTGGAAACTTTTGAAGAGCCACCAGAATGTAAGAATGCAACGCTGAATCCTAAACCGTAAGCCCTACGACGCCCAAAACCCCTAGCCCTTACGGAACCGTAAAGTAAGGCTTGCATCATCGACCTCGAAAGGAGCCCTTTGCTCCAGACCCTTACAGAAACCTTGCTGTTCTTACTAAGGTCCCTACATGAAAACCCTTACGCCAACCCCGCGAACGAACCCCTAAACGCCACGCCCAAAACCCGACCACTTCAACCCTTGTAGTGTAGACCAAAAGCTGTCCCCCTTCCTTGTTCCGAAGGTGACTGCGTGGATCGCCGCCTCGCCGCGGCGATCTTCGCCCTGGGCACCTTCGCGCCCGGCTGGCCCGAAGCCCCAGGGGGCGGGCTGTTGAAGGGTCCCTTAAGGGCTCTTTGAAGGCTTATTTTATGGGGTTTCTTTGGGGGGCTTCTTGAAGCGGCTCTAACAAGGAGCGTTTTGGGGTGTTGTTCTGGGCTCTCGGGCTTGAGTTTCCAAACCCAAAGCAGCTTTGGTCATACTCTGCGACCTGGCGGTGTCAGCGGATTCGCATAGGTATCCGGGTTCTTGTCCTTGCCAGACTAGGTCCTGAACCTTTGGTTGGTTCTTGAAGTGTTCATGTCAGTTTGGAGGGCTTAGCTGAGCGCTTAATATGCTGGTTCCATGCAAAGACCTAAGCTACATCAAGGAGCATTCTGGGGAATGCTGCTGTGCACCTCGGGCTGGGTTCGCAGTGTACATATGCTGCTGTCGATTCCAACAGCCTCTCACGCCCTCTTCTGGGCGTTTGAGCAACCGGACCGCAAGAGAGGACATCTTTGTTCAAGTAGGGATCCGAAGGATTAGTAGTTTTTATCCCCTCCCGTCCCGAACATAATTGTAGTGCAACATGTCTAGAAAAGACCGTGTTCTAACTATATGGGGCCCTATGTTCATGCCACATTGCTAAGATGAGCATTTCACCAATCTAGACCTCAGACTCTCGCTGCCCCTCAGCTCCATGCCCAGGGCGTTAATGATCTTTGGCAGCAATGCCCGGGTGTCGCCCTCGGTGCGGAGTTCTTGCCAGTTCCGGGTCGTCGAATGTGGGCCCATGAAATGTGGTCTGCGAAAAGATTATGTTTTTCGATCGTGACTGCGCGAGAGGGGGGAGGGCCAAGCATCTTGTGATTTTCGGTTCCCGAGCGGTTCGGCATGTTAGACATCAACTGGGCAATACCTCGGGGCTTGGGTCCATACACACTTCTCACAAAGTGCTTCTGGACCTTGTATATGAATTCCTCGGGCCCGCCTGAGACTTCTCCCTCTCAGGGCCTTCTGATCAGCACCGTGGTGAAGGTGGTTGGGTCCTACGGCCTCACCAGCGGCCGGCTGAGTTGCAGCTTTCTTGAGATTGCTTGCGAAGCCCTGAATACGCGAGAAAAACCAACATCCCTTGGCTGGGAATCAATGCCTCCGTAGTCGAATCCCTTGCACTGCCTTTCAAACCACACCCCAGGCACAGCCTTCAGGGCTCTGCCCCCCGAGCTCTCCTGAGGCAACGTGATGCTGGCGCTCATCAACGACGTCACCGCCGCAGAGGCAGCGCAGCTGCTGTAGAGAGACCGGAGCGGAGGGCGGGTTTAGGGGACTACACTTACACCCTGCAGATGTCGGCGGGTGGGAGGTTGAAAATATTGCGGGACGGCTGCAGATCTGCTGCGACTTTGAGACATGAGCCTTGAAAGAGTCGGAGTCAGGATCGAGAAGAGGCGGTGGGAGCCTATTTTGCCGCCAACAACTTCATGAGCTTGGCGTGGCCCGACATGCACTGTACACACCATACGTTCTGCCGTTATCTTCGGATCTGCAGTGCTTGGGCCTTCGATTTCAGCGGTTGTCGAGCTCGGGGTTGGGTGCGGTTTTTGTGTTGTTGCGGCTCGAGGACTCAGGGTGGTAGGGTTCAGGTTGAACGCAGACCCCATCAATGATCCAGGGTCAGAACGGGCATCCTACCACCAAGGCCCTCAAAAGGAATCCTACAAGACTTTGACAGAACCCTTTCAATGTGTCGTAGAATCTGTGCGGCCCCCTTGCATCTGAGGATGACCGGCATCCCTGTGATGTTGGTGCTGGTGCTCAAGGCGCCTCAGTTCACGGGGGCCTTGGGAAATCTGAACAGCTGAAACAGGGTGAATTCCAACGCTACGCCGCTACGCCGTTTGCCGGAGACCAGCAGTGTGACAGAACTCATCGACTTGCTTCTGTAATGTGAAAAACGAATGTGAAAGAGCAGAGCGGATGCAGAAGTGGGAGGGACTTCAAGGGACGGAGCCTCAGTGGCAAGCCCTCATAAAGCTACATTGCCTGAACCCAAAATCTTACTGCCAAAAAAGGGAAGTGCTCGGGCTAAAGCCCGTAACGCCAACAAACCTAGCCCCCCAGACCCTAGAATTAGAACCCTGCGAAAGCCGGAGGTGGTTGATAACAACCCCGTCTTCTTTCTCATCCTTCAGGCCGGAAAAGGAATCAGTGCTGTTTTGAAGTTGCTGGCCCATCTGATTTAGGGTTCCTTATGAAACAAAGGCCCTGTTGTTTGGGCTTGCGTAGTTGGCCCCTTATTGGGAAGGGCAGAGGGGATGTGGAGAGGTTCTCAAGAACGATCCCTGAAGAACCGTGCGCAACTCATATTTTGCACAGTAGCAGTAGCCAAGGTCAACAGCAAGCCAAGCTGCGACATCCGGTTCCATGTAAGCTCTTATGTTGTTTGCAGGAAGGGTATGTGTTCAGAGTTCAGCCGTAAGCTACGGCCCGGCTCAGGGTATTTGACCCGAATAGTGTCAGCGTTCCTTGAAATAATCATAGTAGAATGTACGACCCCTCCGCCCGAGCCCTATGCTACTTTATGAAGGCTGCTTTCGTAGCTTTGCGAAGATCATGCTCGGGGAGAACTTTTGTATTGCAAGAGCAATGTAGGGGCCTGTTACTACCCGGGGTATTGGAGGGCATCTGTTGCTTCTTTTGAGGTTTTAAAGTTTCTTCTTAGGGCCGAACTTGGAAGTCCCCCCCTTTCGCGAAGCTGCAGATTTTGTGGACACGTGGAAAGGCGGTGCTCAGCGCCCTTTGCGTTCTTCTGCTCTTCTGGGTCAGGCCTAAGCCCTAGAAAAAGGGTCAGAGATGGGGCTTTGGTGTTTTCTGTGCAGGACGCGGGAGGTGGGAGGGGGATTCCGAGCTTAGAGGTTTAGGGGACTTGGTGCGGCTTACCGGGTGTGCCACTTGGGATTATAAGCAGCTAGCAGCTACTCCAGTTACCTTGCTTTTTTCCTTCTGCTCAGTCCCTGAAGGGATCCGAAGAACTGGAATCGGGTTTCGGGTCCCAATACAAGCACCGATAAACCAAGACCCTATTCCAAGTATTAAGGCCTCTATCAGGCTGTTGGCACTATCATCACATGAAGGAGCTGCAAGGAATGGTGTTGATGGGGTTTAGGGCGTTCCTGATCATCCTATGGTGGCTATATCTGTAGTTGGAAAAGTGTCCATAAAAAAGCACACGCGCTAAACCGAAGTCACCGCCCCACCAGTACGTATGTATACCGTAGTACATTCAAACTGTACATACGTTTACAACCTTACAGAGTTTAAGGTTCCCTTTAGCCGGGTCCCAGCTTCGAGCTACAAGGCAGTAGAGCACTAGAAAGCTTGATCGCATGTACGTAGGAACCCCAATCTTCTCAACTGCCAACCCCTCATTCCCTACTGCCCTAATCATCCCCAAACACCCTGCTGAGCCGCACCAAAAATAGCCGCAACCCTCGTTCCCGAATGCCCCCAAAATCCGGAGATCCCAAACACCCTATGGCCTTGCTAACCACCAATCGAAGGATGGACAAGAAGCCTGGCTGGAAGGACATGATGGTCCGTTGAGGGTCTCGGGTCGCAGTTTCAGGGTTTCTGTCAGCACCCGTTCTTCCTCGCCGTACCTCTAGATGCGATTGCCCTCTCGTAGCATCCCGTGAAAGGGCCGGCAGCGAGTCAGCGAGATGGCATATACATACAGAGATGCGGTAACAAGATTTCTGCCACAGTTTACTGTATTCGCCCGCACCCAACGGGTGGCTCAGGGTTCTTGCGTGCTTGTGGATAGGCTTGGAATAGCTGTCTGCTGCGACTTGCAGGTGTGCGTAGCACATCTTAGCACATTCTCAGGTTCAGACGGGCGAGTCCAGGTTGGGTGTACCTTAAGCGCAGCCTGAAGCCCTCACGTTTGAACCCGGATGCCCCGAAGCTTCTGAAGGAGGTCTCCTCGGTTTCACTGCCGACGCAAGACGCAGAGGCTGAGACAGAAGAGCAGCGATCCTTGGCAGGCACGGGATTGAGATATCAGCCTTTGGGGTCTGAAAGCTAGCGGCGATCTGAAGGCCGGAATTCTAGACCCCTCTGAACCGAAAGCCCTTGCAGTGTCGAGCCACAGACCCTGAAATCCTGAAGCCGCCTGCCGTTGAGGGGTTTAGGTCGTGGAGGTATTCATTTTTAGCTTTTTGGTTTGCGGGGTGGGGGGGGTGGGGGTAAGGGGTTTGAGGGAGATGCTCTCCAGTTGAGGGGCGTCTGTTACCAAGGCTTTGCCGTTCTCTGACTTTTTGTTGTTTCGAACCTAGAAAGGGCCAACGGCCCGCATCGGGTATCCCAAACCCGAAACTACGCTTGGTGAAGCACCTAAGGACTGGAAGAAGCCCGCAAGGACTGCTGCTGTTGCTGGGTTCTTTGGGGGTTTCTTACTTGCCCGGATGGTGTCACGATGCTGTTTCAGTTTGATGCATGTTGAGTAGATTTGGGTTTCCACCTTGCTATGTGGTTGGTGCAGAGGTACCTGGAGAGAGTTTAATTTCGAGAATGGCATAGATGTGTCGGTGTGCTGTGACTCGCTCCGGCCATCCAACAAGTTTTTTTAAATGAATTCTTCAGAGTTAGACGTGACGCCACCCATCTTTAGGAAATTCCAACAACCACGCCGGGGTCGCAGCAAGACCGCTGGGTGCAGACCCTAAGCCCTAAACCCCAAACCCTAAACCCTAAATGCGATGCCGGCAGGAACGAGCGGCTCAGTCCGAGCAGCGGCAGAGCGAGAGCGAGGAGACGGGGTCATGCGGAGCTTCAGACGGGTTTCGGTTTAGGGTTCAGGGTTTTTGGGGTTTAGGGGTTTAGGGGTTTAGGGTTTAGGGTTTAGGGTTTAGGGTGTAGGATTTAGGGTTTAGGGGTTTAGGGGTTTATTTGGGGCTCATGTGGTCTTTCGGCAGGTTGTATAGAGGCCTGCTTGTGATGTGCTGAATGCACCTATACAGTGTTGCTGCGGAGTCCAGTTGTACCAACTGTAGCTGCTTCTGCATTGGCTGAGAGGTTCATTGCTCTAGTCTATGAGAGCATGCGGGGGTATGAGCCTTCAACTATTAACACCGTCATAAGCAAGAACCCCAGCGCTTAGACCACTGCAGCCCGTGACCCTAGACCAGAAAGCCTCATCTACCTCTTAGACCTCAAGCCGAAAACCTTCAAACGACAAGCACAAAGGCATGGCGTCCTCTATGAGCCAAAAAGGCAGGGTCCGAAGGCAAAATGTCTCCACCACCACTTTCCCCCCGGCGAAGCCTTAAAAGCCATCGAAGCAACAAACGCGGGGCGACTCCCCGGTCTGCAGGAGCCAAGCAGCAGGCAGGTGGCTCGTGGCTGCAGACCGCGCTTAGGGTTTAGGGTTAAGAGTATACTGTACCCTGAAGGACCGTAAGGTTTAGGGTTAAGAGTATACTGTACCCTAAAGTAACACTGTAGTATAGAATCGTCTTGTCCTGTAAAGGACTGGATGAGACGGCAGCTCTTTCTGGATTTCTCTTCGCTTCCTGCGGCATGCGTAGGCAGCGTTGGCATCAGAGGATGCAGCCCCTGAGCCCCTCTCAACAACGGAGCACCCGACAGTACTTGCAAGGATGGCACCCCTTAATGAACCAACGACGGTAGTGGTAATGAGCAGATCTAGAGTAGTAGCAGAGGGCAGGGCCACGTCAGGCATAAAAGTATAACCGCCATGATCGCCAGCTAGCAACGGCAGTAAGACTCAAGTCTGGCAGTGATCTCCTGGTCCCACGTCTGCAGGCACGAGACCACCTCCACATCCACAGATCTGTCGGATACGGTGCCTGGGATCAGACATTCGGGGCCCCTAGGACACTTCGGGCCTTGGAAGAGGTCGAAAGAAGGATGTCCCAGGAATCGAGGGGATTCGCGGCTCAGAGCGCCCGACCCCCCTCCGAAGGAAGCCCGCAGAGCAGATCTTTCCTGTCAAGGACCTGCACGACCCGGATGCCTGCTGCGCTCAAAGCTGCAGCTCTCCATCCAGCCAAGGTGCCTTGTGTGTTAAACAGCTTTTGGTAATGTGCAGTATATTGCTAACAAGGGACAACATTGCAGTGTTCAGCGAGTTTGGAGGAACGACCAAGTTAGGGAGCTGACGGGTTTGAGGGGTTCAGACGCTTGAATTTACGATCTAGGTGCTCCTGGGTTTGGGTTGGCAAGTTGTTGGGAGAAGGGTTTTCAGACTCCAGGGGTCAGGGTCCAGGGAGAAGCATACGTGCTGTTTCCAAGATAGCGGGGGTGTCTGGAGGCTTTTTTTCAGAATTCGGCTCGTCCTCCTCTTTCAGGTCGGGTTTTATAGGCCGTTGTGTAATGCCTGCCAGCTGGCGGGCGTTAAAATGAATTGATGAATCAGCTCCGCGATAAAGCTGGCGATCCCTAATCCCTAAAGCCAAAAGCTCTGCAGCCCAAAGCTCAACCCCTGCAAGAACCGACCCTTGTAGAATCCTGAAACACAGCCTTCAAACAAACCTTCAACGGAAACCCCTAGAGGGAACCCTTCAAGGACCCCTTGAAAGACCCCCTACAAGAAGACCCCCTGCCTGTTCCGGAGGCTGTCAAGCCTGCTGTTCAAGAACTTGGGCCACCGTCCGTGTTCCACTAAGGCTGGGAAGCCTCGGCTTTGCATACTGGGTTTGTGTATCGCCTTTTTTGACTTCTTCGTCAGGGTTCCCCTTGTCGCTTCCTGACACGGCTGTCGGGGGCTTGCCAAGATGGGGACACGGCTTTCAGATTTTAGCTATGGACCTCACAGGAGATGGCATGTCCTGCAGATTATAGGATGCTTCAGGGAGGGGCTACTGTTGGACACCCTCGCTGAAGGATCCATGATGCAGATCCCTCAGAAGCCCCGAAAGCAAGTCCCGCCAGGCAGTTCGTGTTGCCGGTTCGCCTGGCTTTTGGCAATCGACGGCTCCGTCGACTTTGGCCCCTCTTTGCTTGGTTGAAGGGGGAGCTCGTCGGGGACTGTAGCCGTGAGTTGTATGATTATGTTGTCGTTTTCATTAATTACTAGTTGCTGTTATTGTTGATATTCTTCTTCCTTTTACGATTAAACAATCAGTGGAGGTTCAGGACGTCTTGCGGCTCGACGTCAGCAAATCGAAGAAGCAACTGCTACAGTAGCCTGGAGATGCCTGCACCGTCTCAAGCTTTCAACTCCCAAAACCCTTGAAAGTTTCGGCAACCGAGCACCCCAGCCTGAACCAGAGAAGACTAACGCCAGGTTTGCCGGATTCTTGCTGATGCGCCTTGGCACCTGCTTGGCACGGGGAGGGGCGGAGAGTTTCAGAACACTGACATCCCAGCCCGCGTAACCCTGCGTCCTAAATCCTCTGCGAGGTTCGCCGGCCAGCTGGTCATGGACATTGGCGGGTAACTCCGAGCCGTTTTCGCGTGAGAGATTTTGGGACGGGAGCACTCCTTCTGCTATCTGCTACTTGCTCTCTGCTTTTGCGATGGTGGAGGGCGAGGACAAAGACAGAGAAAGAGAGGGAGAGAGATGTTTTTCTGTGAGCTGAATATATTATGTTATATGATCGATAGATAGGTAGACAGGCAGAAACATAGTTCGACAGATGGATCGAGTGGGTTTTTGAAGTGCGGTGGCCAGGCAGTACTTCAACCAGTCCATGGGGCTCATTCCCTACGGCACGACGCAGGAGATCATCACAGCCTTGGGCCCCAGCAGAGTGGTTACTTGCTGAGAGCTCCCAGCTCCTGCTCCTGCGATTGAATCGTGAGCCCTAAACCCTGATTGCAAGTTGGATAGTGCAGGTGTGTGGTGTCCAGGGCCGTCGAAGCTCGAGTCTGCTCCCAGCATCTCGACCCCTCCGCACAACTCCAGCGGGACGTCCCCAGAAGCCGTGTATCCCTGGTCTTGACAAATTCTGTTCTGTCTTTGAATGGTGCTGAAGTGACAAACTTCTAAACAAGTCCCGATGATCGGCTCTGACGTCTAGCCGCGCTTCTGGGCAGTCCCAAAGAGCCCCAATCCCAGAGACTCCAGAAGCCTTCTACGAAGGAGACCATTAGCATACATCAGAAAGGGCCCTCTGACTTGTGGGGATATCAGGGGTTCGGAATACTTAGCAATGAAAAGCATCGCCCGACAGTCTCGACGTATTCTTCTAGGAACCCCAAGGCGAACCCTCCCCTCTTTCTGGGACCCTGGTCTTCAGGTCGCCGTCCTGACGATGATCCCAGGCCCAGACTGGGGAAAAAGTGATGCCTCGTTTGGGGGAACGGCGACGCGCCTCCCTTTTTCTCCTAGGTCCTAGGAGCTTCGGAGTGTTTCGTTGTTCGGATACTTCTTCCTTGGTTTTTGTGCAGGGAGACACAAGGCAAACCGCACAAGACCACCAGGTTTGACGGAGGCATCTTTGGAGCACTGAAGCAGCTCAGAAGTTCCTTAGTTGTTGAGTCCATGTCTGTTCTCTTCCCGAGGCTGCCGAGACATTGTAGTAGCATCTTATACTATATGTTTTGCTTTATGTTGTATTACAAAAGATGTTATGTGTCATATTGTAAATGATATAATATAACATACTTGTGAATTAATATTACCAATCACCGAAGAGTAGCGGGTTTTTCGGAGGCCAGCTGCTCGCGATCCCCGGGAACCTCATCACCGGCTACCTCTCAAAGCGCCGAGAGCTCAGCAGACGCAAGTCGATACCTCCTATAGGTTTCTAACCCTTGCAGGGTTCTTTCGTACAGATTTACACAAAGCTTCTAACGTGTTCGGTGGCTTCAGCAACTGAGCCGGCCGTGAAAAGACTGCGTGCAAACGGGGTCTTGATCGGCAGTGCGGGACATTCGCTGCAAAGTGGAGTGTCTTGCGCGTCGGCTCGGTCGCGGTCGCTGCCGTTCACAAGCCTTCCTGCAGGGTGGTAGTTGCATCTAGGTTCGTTCGGACGTTCCCCTTTAACAAGATGCGTAGGAATCAGTACAGTTTTCACACTGGATCTGATTTCCATCGCCGCAGAAACCGAGTTGGTCACACGGTCGATGGTGAGCTTGCAGCGGCCAGCGATCCTATCCGACACAGACCTCTGCTTCCCTTTTGTCGGCGTATAGGGTTTGCCTGAAGCAGCACTTGTGCCAATGTCTTGCCCACAGTCTTTGCCCGCAAGGATGCATTCCAGACTCGCGGTGTTCTGGCATGGATGCGCAAGCTTGTCGCGAGATGTTTGTCACACTCTTTTGTTTCATGCAGCTTTCGCAGGGCCTTGAAAGAAGTCGTAAACAAGAGACTGTGCTGAGCCGTGCATGGAACCGGCGTTCCCTTCTGAGCTTCTGCGGGTGTGCTGTCATAACGCCTTAGCCTTGCGAACTGTGGTGCACCCGAGGGCGTTTTGATTTCAGGTGTGTGGTGCTGCCAGAGGGTGCTTTGGCAGGGGGGCTGTCGCCTGGTGTTGTAGGGATCTGTGCAAAACTACTATGGGAGTTTCCGAAAATAGGGTACCCTAATATAGTACCCTAAATAGTAGGATCCTTATTATAAGGGCCCCAAAATAAGGTACCCAATTGTCGGAAACTCCCATATGGCCTGAACGGAGCTGACATTTGGATTTTGTGCTGGCGGGTGCCTTCTCGATGCCGTAACCTGAATGGTGCTGGGAACTGTATGAGAAATTGGAGTTTGCGTATAGAACGCTGAAGCAGTGCTGGAAAACATCTGCGGCAGTGTAGAGTAAGACGTAAGAAGTTTGTGTGTTTGTGTGGCATATTGATGTTTGGCGCATGGTTTTGGCTGGTGCAATTAGGTGTGGGTGCTTTTTGCGAGGCGTTGCAAAGACCATTGTGCCGAGTGTATGGTGCTGGAAAGTTTGTGCGGCAATTGATTTTGGGCGCATGGTCCTGGCTGGTGCACTTTAGTATGGGTGCAGTTGCGAGGCGTTCTTGTGTGTGGGTGCTTTGGCGAGTCGTTGCAAAAACCATTGTGCCGAGTGACTGGTGCTAGGAAGTTGGTGTGGCATTTTGATTTTGAGTGCAGGGTCGTGGCTGTTGCACTTGGGTACGGGTGCTTTTGCGAGACGTTGCAACGACCATTGTGCCTAGGAAGTTTGTGTAGCACTTTTATCGTGGGTGCATGCTCTTGGCAGGTGCAGTTGGGTAGTTTGTGTGGCATTTAGATTTTTGGCGCATGGTCCTGGCTGGCTCACTTGAGTATGGGTGCCTTTGCGAGGAGTGCTTTTGCAAGGCGCTGCAAAGACCATTCGGCCAAGTGACTGATGCTAGCAAGTTTCGGTCCTGACTGGTGCACTTGGGCATGGGTGCATTTGCATGACGTTGTGGTGCCGAGTAAATGGTGCTAGGAAGTTGGTGTGAAAATTTTGAGTTTGAGCGGGTATGCACGATGGGTGCTTTTGCGACGCGTTGCAAGACCATTCATTGTGCGGAGTGACTGGTTTTGGGCGCATGGTCCCGGCTGGTGCACTTTTGTATGTGCACTTCTGTATGGGTGCTTTTGCGAGGGGTTGCAAAAACCATTGTGCCGAGTGACTGGTGCGAGCAAGTTGGTGTGGCATTTTGATTTTGCGCGCACGGTCCTGGCTGGTGCACTTGGGTATGTTCGCTTGGGTCTGGGTGCTTTGCGAGGCGTTGCAAAGACCATTCTGCCGAGTGACTGGTGCTAGGAAGTTGGTGTGGCATTTTGATTTTGGGCGCATGGTCCTGGCTGGTGCACTTGGGTATGTTCGCTTGGGTGGGGGTGCTTTTGCGAGGCGTTGCGAAAGCCATTGTGCCGAGTGACTGGTGCTAGGAAGTTGGTGTGGCTTTTTGGGTTTTGGGCGCAGAGTCCTAGCCCAGCTGGTGCTTGGGTATGTTCGCTTGGGTGTGGGTGCTTTTGCGAGGCGTTGCGAAAGCCATTGTGCCGAGTGACTGGTGCTAGGAAGTTGGTGTGGCATTTTGATTTTGGACGCAGAGTCCTAGCCCAGCTGGTGCTTGGGTATGTTCGCTTGGGTATGGGTGCTTTTTCGAGGCATTGCAAAGACCATTGTGCCGAGTGACTGGTGCTAGGAAGTTGGTGTGGCATTTTGATTTTGGGCGCAGAGTCCTAGCTTGGCTGTTGCACTTAGGTTTGTTCGCTTGGTTATGGGTGCTGTTGCGAGTCGTTGCAAAAACCATTGTGCCGAGTGACTGGTGCTAGGAAGTTGGTGTGGCATATTGATTTTGGGCGCATGGTCCTGGCTGGTGCACTTGGGTATGTTCGCTTGGGTATGGGTGCTTTTGAGTTGCGCGGTATTGCAAAGACCATTGTGCCGAGGGACTGGTGCTAGGAAGTTGGTGTGGCTTTTTGATTTTTGGCCCAGAGTCCTAGTTTAGCTGTTGCACTTAGGTTTGTTCGATTGGGTATGGGTGCTGTTGCGAGTCGTTGCAAAAACCATTGTGCCGAGTGACTGGTGCTAGGAAGTTGGTGTGGCATGTTGGTTTTGGGCGCATGGTCCTGGCTGGTGCACTTGGATATGTTCGCTTCGGTGTGGGTGCTTTTGCGAGGCGTTGCGAAAACCATTGTGCCGAGTGACTGGTGCGAGCAAGTTGGTGTGGCATTTTGGTTTTGCGCGCACGGTCCTGGCTGGTGCACTTGGGTATGTTCGCTTGGGTCTGGGTGCTTTGCGAGGCGTTGCAAAGACCATTCTGCCGAGTGACTGGTGCTAGGAAGTTGGTGTGGCATTTGGATTTTGGGCGCATGGTCCTTGCTGGTGCACTTGGGTATGTTCACTTGGGTGTGGGTGCTTTTGCGAGGCGTTGCGAAAACCATTGTGCCGAGTGACTGGTGCTAGGAAGTTGGTGTTGCATTTTGATTTTGGACGCAGAGTCCTAGCCCAGCTGGTACTTGGGTATGTCCGCTTGGGTATGGGTGCTTTTGCGAGGCATTGCAAAGACCATTGTGCCGAGTGACTGGTGCTAGGAAGTTGGTGTGGCATTTTGATTTTGGGCGCAGAGTCCTAGCTTAGCTGTTGCACTTGGGTTTGTTCGCTTGGGTATGGGTGCTGTTGCGAGGCGTTGCAAAGACCATTGTGCCGAGTGACTGGTGCTAGGAAGTTGGTGTGGCATTTTGATTTTGGGCGCATGGTCCTGGCTGGTGCACTTGGGTATGTTCGCTTGAGTATGGGTGCTTTTGAGTTGCGCGGCATTGCAAAGACCATTGTGCCGAGGGACTGGTGCTAGGAAGTTGGTGTGGCTTTTTGATTTTGGGCGCAGAGTCCTAGTTTAGCTGTTGCACTTAGGTTTGTTCGCTTGGGTATGGGTGCTGTTGCGAGTCGTTGCAAAGACCAGTGTGCCGAGTGACGGGTGCTAGGAAGTTGGTGTGGCATTTTGATTTTGGGCGCATGGTCCTTGCTGGTGCACTTGGGTATGTTCGCTTGGGTATGGGTGCTGTTGCGAGGCATTGCAAAGACCATTGTGCTGAGTGACTGGTGCTAGGAAGGTGGTGTGGCATTTTGATTTTTGGCGCAGAGTCCTAGCTTAGCTGTTGCACTTGGGTTTGTTCGCTTGGGTATGGGTGCTGTTGCGAGGCGTTGCAAAGACCATTGTGCCGAGTGACTGGTGCTAGGAAGTTGGTGTGGCATTTTGATTTTGGGCGCATGGTCCTTGCTGGTGCACTTGGGTATGTTCGCTTGGGTATGGGTGCTGTTGCGAGGCATTGCAAAGACCATTGTGCTGAGTGACTGGTGCTAGGAAGGTGGTGTGGCATTTTGATTTTTGGCGCAGAGTCCTAGCTTAGCTGTTGCACTTGGGTTTGTTCGCTTGGGTATGGGTGCTGTTGCGAGTCGTTGCAAAAACCATTGTGCCGAGTGACTGGTGCTAGGAAGTTGGTGTGGCATTTTGATTTTGGGCGCATGGTCCTGGCTGGTGCACTTGGGTTTGTTCGCTTGGGTATGGGTGCTGTTGCGAGGCGTTGCAAAGACCAGTGTGCCGAGTGACTGGGGCTAGGAAGTTGGTGTGGCATGTTGATTTTGGGCGCAGAGTCCTAGCATAGCTGTTGCACTTGGGTTTGTTCGCTTGGGTATGGGTGCTGTCGCGAGGCGTTGCAAAGACCATTGTGCCGAGTGACTGGTGCTAGGAAGTTGGTGTGGCATTTTGATTTTGGGCGCGTGGTCCTGGCTGGTGCACTTGGGTATGTTCGCTTGGGTATGGGTGCTTTTGCGAGGCATTGCAAAGACCACTGTGCCGAGTGACTGGTGCTAGGAAGTTGGTGTGGCATTTGTTTTTGGGCGCAGAGTCCTAGCTTAGCTGTTGCACTTGGGTTTGTTTGCTTGGGTATGGGTGCTGTTGCGCGTTGCAAAGACCATTGTGCCGAGTGACTGGTGCTAGGAAGTTGGTGTGGCATTTTGGTTTGGGGCCCAGAGTCTGCAGAGTCCCAGCCTATCTGTTGCACTGTGGTTTGTTCGCTGGGGTATGGGTGCTGTTGCGAGGCGTTGCAAAGACCATTGGGAAGTTGGTGTGGCAGTTTGTTTTTTCTGCTGTAGTGGCAGGGTGAGATTATTTTGGGGCTCACGGAGTGTTATATGCGCACACAAACAGAGATGCACGCACGCGCATGCCGTTTCTGAGCCTGGGCGAGTGTGCTGACAGCTTTGTCCGCGAGCCGGTGTTCAAATTGGCCTTCCAGTTTCGATGCGGCAAGGAAGGGTGATCTCCCACGCCCTAAGGCCCCACGAACCCCAAGCCGTGACTTCCAAGGGATCCTGAAACCTCAAGCTCCCGGCTCCCCTTCCTCCAGCGGCCCGACCAAGGCGGAGGGCCGCTGTTCCTGCTGCGCCGGATGGTGCGCCAGTCTTGAGCTTGCTGCTTTAGATTATAGTATGATTATAGATCTCCATCCCGGTACTTGGGGTCTAAAGTTCTAAAGGTTACCCTGGGCTGATAAGGACTTTCGGCGGTTGGGCGGAGAAGTAGTTCGAGCCCTACAAGTAGCTATCTAACATCTGAGATTGAGATGGCTGGATCGTCCGATCCAGTGCTGCCAGGGCCCGTTCAAGTGAGGATCCAAGGTTAGGGTTTTTGGGTTTTGGGGCTGTGCACACTGCCGAACCTACTCAGCATTGTGCAGTCTGGTTATACAGGTTCGTTTCGCTAAATAGCCAGACTAGTGGTAGACACGAGCAGCAGTTCTTGCTGTGCTCATCGTCATTCTGAGGCCTTGTCCGTAATACAGTGACTTCCATGAGTAAGACTGACGTTTGCTGCCGTCAGACGTTTGTCATTTTGTTCAGCGGTTTTGCTGTTGCCGCTGACTGTCATCATGAGTAGCAGCGCGCATGCTTTCGCCATCGCCGAGTCACTGTTACTATCCGTGTCATCATTGCCGTCTTCATCGGCGCAATCATTCGGTTACGTGCGCTGCCCTGCCATGCAATGCTTGTGCTGCCGCTGCTGCCGCTGCTGCTGCCGCCTATGCCGATGATTGGTGTTGGCATCTGCATCGTTTGCGTAGCTATCTGTTGTTGTTTAACTGCTCGATGTTGTCCTGACCATTGCGAGCAGTAGCGAAGCACAGCTGCTCCAAGAAGCTCCCTGCTGGATCCCTGAGATCCCTTTGTCTTCCTTCCTGGTCACCGTCGGGGCCCTCATGGCCGAGGTGCCCAAAGGGGGGCTTAGCGGGGATCGGTTTCTGTCCTTGTTTGGGGCGTCGTCGTCTCGAGGGTCAGAACGGTCTTGGCGAGAGGATCATATCTTATTCTGGTTGCGGGGCCAGGGGACACGAAGGAGCTCGCCGCCCGAAAAGGATTCAAGCTTCTCAACACAAGGAGCAACATGGGCAGGTTCGGCAGATGTGGTTCATTGCCGTGGTCGCCCCGAGCTCGGTGATACTTGCCCTCCCCCAGGGTAGATAGAGACTATCGTTTAGGGATTACAATAATCTTGGTTTCGGAGTTCCCATATGCATGTGGGTCAAGATTTTTATTCGAGATTTCAGGGTGCAGGGTTGCAGAGACTTTGGGCTTCGGGGTTCGATTTTCGAACATCCGGAAAATTCCGCGTAAGTTTCTGTTCCAAGAGTCCAGTAGAAAGATGTGTGAGTTCCGAAAATTCTTGACGCATTCCGAAAACACCTAGATACTAGGACCCCCTTTGAACAAACAGCGAGGAAGCTCTTATTCAAGAAGCCCCGCCCCCTGAGAGTTTGGACCCATGGACTTCCAAACCCCCCGACAAAAGCCCAAAGCGCTTATAGAAAAAAGGCCTGACTAAAACCCCCGTAACTTGCATACAAAAGCGTCTTATGCGAACAACCATGGTACCAAGAAGACCTTAAAGGAATCCACACGAACCCTAAACCCCTAAACCTAGGTGATCTGTTTGAACTACGCCGGCCTCCCGAACGTTCCGCTCATGCGCCTGGCTTCCGGGCCCGACCCCAAGTCAACGGCGGCAGAAGCCTTTGGGCTTTTGTGGGTTTAGGCATGTTTGGGGTCAAGGGGTTTTTTGGGGGTTTTTATAAGGGTAAGGGTTGAGGGCTGTGGGATGTTGAGGGTTTACGACTCAGGGTTTAGGTGCCATAGAAGGGTTGTGCTTTCAACTTGGCCATGGTGATGGATACGTGTCCTTGCAGAAGCCCTGAGGCTTTGCCAGGCTTCGGTTCAGGCTTTTGGGCTTCAGCACGGGGTTTGGGGTCTTCGGGGCCTTCCTGATTCATGGGGGGATTCATTAGGGTAGTGGGGGGAGGTCTTTTGTAAGTTCAAGGCTTATGGCAGATGGCTTGAGGACTGAAGGGGTTTCTGAAGATAGCGGGTTCAGGGTGTTGGTGTAGTGCATCGGGCTTGGGCAGCAAGGCTCCAATGTGTCCCAAGTCTTTTACATCCTACTCCAATTTTCCCCGTTGGTGCCTTCCACTAGGATCCATAGTAGGGATCCCACTGTTAGAAGCCCGGGGTTCTATTTGAGATCTGAGCTGCCGAGGGTCGCGCCGCCTGGTCGTGTGGGAGAGGCCGTGAGAAATCCTTTGCCATTGCAGTCGAGCTGGGCTTTTCGAAATCCGCGGTAAACTCGGCGGCAAGAAAGGGAGCGCCCCTGCAAAAGCTTTGCAAAATCCCATGAAGCCCGAACCGATCCTTATCAAACCCTTCCAAAAGTGGAGACCCTTCCTCGATCTCCAAGCCCTCGACAACACCGGACCGAAACAGGCGCTGAGCTCCATCGGCATTGCAGCCCAGCTTGCCAGCCTCATCGGCAATGCGGCTTGGACAGACCCCTAATGCGAGGCAGCAGGACAAGACTGATCGTGCAGTCATACCGCAACAGTACTGGTACTTACTGTAGTTGTTGTAGGTATTGGTCCAGTCAATAGCAACACTTACAGTCGGAAGACTACCCGTACGAATACGAGCACCGTAAGAACGATGAGAAGAGCATCCTTCGTGCCCGCCCTTTGCTCCAAGTGCTCGTAAAACACAATTGCACCCCCGACAGTCGTGGACAGCTCTTACAGCTCTGTGCTAGAGTTCAGAAGGACCTGTTTCAGCAGCCAATCCTCAAAAAATGAATCCTTCATGGGACGGCTTGGGTATGTTGAGTTGGTGAGGTGGCATAATGGCATCGAGCCCAGCATGAAAGGGGACACAACACCTCCCAAAGTCGTTGGAACTGCCCAAAGTACAGTTCTCGCGAAGCTTACTTGGAGGCTATTGTGACTTTCTAGAGTCCCCTGCGGTCCTTATGAAAGGAATCACATACAAAGCCTAAGCCCAGATTGCCGTGGCGGTTCTGAACCGATGGCTCATGAGCACGGATCTTTACGATCCCCTCTGGCGGCTTCGCTGCACGAAGAGGCTCCCACACCCCACATAATTGACATGGGGCTTACTGGAGTCAAAGAGGTACCTTGTCTATTTAGGGTCCTTATGGGGTAATTATCTCATCTGTCTAGGGTCCTTTTGGGGTACCTTGTTTATCTAGGGTCCTTGTGCGGAGGATACCATCATTTCGGCATCTGTAAGAGCGGTCCCATCATTTTTGATTGCAGTTCTCCTTTTGATCCACATGGTCACATGCCTTTGTCCGCCAAGGATCTACTATCCTGCATGCGGCATGCTCTCGCTGTGCGCGATCATCCCGCTGATCGGGAGCGCGACGCCAATTCTTGGAGGGGCTTCTGGTGTTCGGCAGTTCGCACGAAGCTTAGATTAAGCCTATTTTTGAGCTCTGAACCCGTGTCCTGTTGCCACGACGGCCAGGACTCCTGGTGGCGGTTGGGGTTCCGCAAGCGGTGACCTGCAGGCGACGCTTTCTGCAGTGTGGGCTTGGGGTTTCGAGCATAGCACATGCGAAATTCCGCCACTCCCAAGCTTCTGAGATTTCTCCTCTTTGCTGCCCTGGGTGTTTATTTGGGAAGCATGCCGGACTGGCGGGTGCGGCGGCACATGATCAAGTACAACTGATAGGCAAGAAGTTGAATATTCATTTAAGGCTTTGATGGTGGAAGCACGTTCTTTAGAACGTGGCCCCACATCTCTCTTTCATCGCCCATGAGCTACATTGCGCAGAAGACTTAGAAAAACACCGCCGCGCCAGGAACAGTTCATGGCTGTCGTTTATGCGCACAAGGCGATGCAGCGATGGAAGAAGGAGGCCGACTTGGAACTTAGGACCCCGAAAAGCCGCAACTCTTGCTTCATGGAGCCACCACTGTGGAGGTACGACCCGCTAATCTTTCGACATGTGTTGCATCCTCTGTCAGCGCTACCGACTGCAATTGGCTGATCCGGGCATGGTAGGTGCACTCCTTTGATTCCCGTGATCACAACGTTGAGCCATTACCTCCCTCACGAGGGGGACCTGGTCCACCTCAGGTGGCGCGTCGACGGGAACACGGCGAGTTGAAGCCAAGACCCTAAGGCCAGGATTTTGGAACGTATTCTGTAACGGGCCTTGCTAGAATCCATTGCGACATTGCAGCATTTCTGACAGTTTCGCGGGTTTGGGTGATTTTGGCTTCGGAGCGTAGGGCTTCACTGTTTGTCGGTCCAGTCTTGTGAGTCTTTGGTTAGGTTTCAGGGTTTGGCGCGTCACTCGTGGAGGAGGAGAGAGAGAGAGAGAGAGAGAGAGAGAGAGAGAGAGAGAGAGAGATAGAGAGAGAGAGAGAGAGAACTATTGGTAGACCCCAGCATTCCCGAACGACTGGCACTTTTATTGTTCGTACTGGTTCGGGATGAGACGGGGCAAACCAAAATCGTGCATGTGTCGAATGCAAATGTACGACCTTGGTAGTCGGACATCGTATACTTGAAAGGCCCTAGCCTATACCGAGGTCTACATTTGTTTTTCACCCCCCAATAATCCCGATAAATCATATCGGGTGGGCAAGATGCCCGGGGGTCTTGATCGACCCCTATGCCCGAGAGAGAGAGAGAGAGAGAGAGAGAGAGAGAGAGAGAGAGCGAGAGCGAGAGCGAGAGCGAGAGCGAGAGCGAGAGAGAGAGGGAGTGTGTTTTCGAAAGCGATATATGTATTTATATGTACTGTACGCACAGTATAGGTATGTATGGATATGTATACGTATACACCAACATGTTCCGAAGGATAGCTAGTTCTAAACTAGAACTGTATCTACGAAGCACCGTGGAATCGTTGTTATCTTCTGTATACATGGCGTTTGCGGACAGTACCTCAAGAGCAATTCTTACTGTTTCTTTTCCCAAGGCGGTTCGAGCCATGTCACCATTGTCATTAGGTTTCCAACCGGGACCTTGATCTGGAATTTAGTCTGTCTCATCACTTGGCCAGGTGCTGTATCGAAGTGTTCCAGAAGTCCCAATGCCTCAGCAGCATAGAAGTTGCTTGAGCTTCACGTCATGTTTGGTTTTTGTTCTGCGGGGTTTTCTCGAAGTAGGGTTTCTGTCATGGCTTTCCACGAGCTTGTACAAGGCTCCTCAGGGAGCATTCGTGGTGAGCGTATCGTTGGGGTGTCCTACAAAACTCACAACCCTCTTCTTGTCGAAATGCTTCGTCAACTTGCCTGACCCCTCGTTCCAGTCAGCCCTCAAGACCCGAAGCTCCAAACGTTAAGCCTTCAAGCACAAGTCCAAAGCCTAGATTCACGATTCCAAGCTCTTTCAGACGTTTGCTTCAGCCGCAACCTCTAAACCTTAAGCTCTGACTTCAGCGTGCAGGCGTTTGCCTCCGTTGGTCTCAGCGGTGAGCCGCGCGATCCAGGCCGCGGGAACTCTGCGAATGGCAGCTTCCCACTGTCACGTTTAAAGCCGGGGCCGAATAAAAGGCTTCAAGACCTAAAGATATACATATATATATATATATATATTTATGTAAATATATACATATGAATGCATACATACATATATACTGTAGACATGCATAGTACTGTATAAGTATAGAGGGCCTGTGAGGGGATCTTTGCAAATTCGCATTCCTATCTCTGCGTTTGAAGGTGTCGCGCAGGGCACAGCCCCGAGCTGCGCACAGATTTCGAGCCCGCTCGGTGCTGGGTTTCTCCATCGCCTTTGAGATTTTTTGCTGCTTTTGGCACGCTGATGGACTCTTAGAGGGGCTTCAGTTGAGAACGCGGCCAACCAAAGCCTCAAAGCAGAGCCTCAAACCCCAAAAAACCAACAGCCCTATGCCCTAAAATCTTAAGCCCAACAAAGCTTAAAGCTCCAGGGCACCGACCTAAACCCAGCAAAGCCTACAGCCCTAAACGCTGGAAGCCCTACACCCTCAGCCCAAACCAAAGCCTAGTAACCCTACTGTAAACCCTGAAAGCCCCACGCCCTGAAACCTAGACAACAAGGTGTGAAGCCCAAGCCCTAAAGCCCCAAGCAAGATCCGGTGCATCTGAAAACCCCAGCACATCGAAGTTTCAGCGGGAGCAAACGAGTGGCCAAAGTGCCCGGGAGCGCGATGTCTGTCTGGTTCCATGGAAAGGGTTTCCAAGTCTACATCGGGCTGATTGAAGCTGTTTTCCAAAAAGGCTTCTGTAGGTTTTACATAGGGTTCTCGAGGTTCACATAGATTTTTGCATAGGATCCTCTGAATGCTCTTGAAAAATTTGCAGAAGGGTTCGTTTAGAGTTCTGACATCGAGCTTTTCAGAGCTTCGAGTGCCTGAAGCCCTATATCCTAAACCCTTGGCCACAGCAATGCTCTTACCTAGGCCTCAAGCTCAGACATTAAGACTGTTCTCAACTTCAGGATATTTCACTCTAAGCCTAAATCCTAAGCCCTAAGCCCCCGACACCAAACAAGAACCCGGCAGTAGGTCTCGAGCCTGAGCAAACCGAGACATGACATGTCGCTTTATCAGTTTAGATCTGGTGCGCCCTTGACCGAAGGTGGGGGCGGGCCGGATTGCCGTTTCTGCACAGGATCTTGCAGAAGCCCGGCCCGAAGGTCCGAAGGTGAAGAGAGCCGTCTCGGGAAGAGGCAAGCCTGGCTACTCTTCTGATCAAGGCGCTAACTAGTATGTTTTTTGGTAGCATGCGCCTGTCCTGTATGGGGGCACAGGGTGGGCGGTTTCGAGAAGCTGGAAGCCTGCCTTCAAGGGTTTCAACTTCATACCCTCTTTCGAGCTTCGCTTCTTCTACTTCTCCAATGCGAAGCCTTGGGCTTGTTCGGTCCGTTCAGTTCTACATTCTGCTGAATTGTGCCCCTTTCCCTGTGTTTTTTTGGCGAACTAGGTGCGGTCCATGACAGGACGAACGTCTCCATCAAGGTTCTTGGGTAGGTCTACATTCATACAGGTTACAAATACCTGAATCGGGACTCTAGGTAGCTGTAAGTGTACTTAGCCGAATGAAAAGCGCTGCTTGCCAAGCGCCACGCGCTTTAGTCAAGCTCAAAACCCTACTGAGTTCATAATTCCAGTGCTACTCCTTTTCAGCCCTACAGAAACCCTTAAAGGCACCATGAGATAGTTCCCTAAACCCTAAGCCCTTATGCCCAAAGACAAGCTTGCCAAGAGCCTGGGCCGGCGACTGCAATCTGCGGAGTGGCGCCCAGCTTATGGTCGAAAAGGGGCAAAAACAGGTGCGACGATGTGCGATGTTGGTTTTGGGGGGGGCGGGAACCCCGAACAAGACACTGAAGGAAGGCCGCAAATAACCCCCCCTCCCCTTCAGCTCTGAATCATCTTCCTCAATTTGGGAAGTAGTGTCATTCATCGAGGGTCTACGTCATGTCTGGCATGCTGAAACCCCGTTGCTTCGCCCCAGCTTCCGAGGCCAGGCAGCTCAAGCATCTCTTGCCCATGACTTTCCTAGCCCTTGTCCGAGAAACTAGTGGCATCTAGCTTTCTGCAGAAGTATGTTGCTACAACACCGGAGTGTTCTCACGCAAGCTTTACTCTTCGTGATTCTTGTCTTGCCTCATTGTGATGGTGGTACTTATAGTCAATGGCCTCGTTGCACTCCATTGTCTAACAGCACCAGCTCGCTTTGGAGCGGAGCCGTGGCCATGAAGCTGCGAGTCGACGGCAGGCCGCCTTGTCAGTCCAGGCTCTTCGGACGTCCGGGTTTTTGATGTTGCAAGGTCCCGGTTCCGGATTTTCACTGCGAGTCCTTGTCCCACGTGGTGAAGTTCCGGCTTGACCTGCGAAGTCTGTGCGCGCTTTTCTCGATCACTTAAGAAAAGCCTTCCTCTTCTTGCATCTCAGAATGTGCTGGTTGCAGAAAGTCAACCGAAATCCACTGCTGCGGCCGAAGATGCAATCTGTTATGATAGCTTAGTCGGGTAGGACTTCCCGGGCAATGCCATGTACCATGCACTAAGTCTGTATAGGGCCTTGTCGGATCTGGGAGGGCACGGGTCGTGGCAGAACATGTCCCGACACGTCCCAGCAGGTCCTCGGAGGTACCCGTCCCTTCTGGATATGATTGTGTTGGCACAACTTACAAGCACCGGTGTGGAGCTTAGGCCTTGTAATCTCAAAACCCGAAGCCTGCACCCTAAACTCCACCCGCGGAGCCCGGAGATGGGGGCATTGCAAAGAAGTTGTTGCATGGCGAGCTGTGCAAGCTAAAAGGATACCTGGGTGCATGCATGCTGAAGCCAGCGTTTGGGGAAACAATAGAGTGAATGGCTTGACATGACACATAGAAACGTGTAGAATGTCAACCACAGTTGCGAATGTAATGACATCCCATGAAAAGGACATAGCTTTTTTTTCTCCGAAAGCCGTCTCAGTCCACATAGCTGATGCAGGTGGACGGACTAGTCACGACGATGTTGGAAGCCTTCGGCCGAGGAAGGCACATATCTGCCCTGGCACCAGCAAACCACAAGGGCGCATCCGCATACTGTTCTGAAGCAATGCTTTACATATACAGGCAACGCCTTTCATGTTTCACCCCGCCTCGGGTTGGCCTGCAGATCTCGGACTTACTGTCTCGTGTTGCGGTCCATGTCGCAGCCTTTTTGGCTCGTCACGGCCGATTTTGCTGTTTGCGGAGCCTTGGTGGGACTGTTGGGCTGACCTGCAGCGAGGGTGCGGATGCCCAGCAGCTATCAGGGAGGGGTAGGGTGTGGTTCACGCGTTAGCTTTTGCTGCGCCACACATTCACAATCGTTCTCTGCATCGGTTCGTGTTGTCGTTTGCATTGCCCAAGTCTTCAGGTAATATGCCAAGACCCAAGCCTCTCTGTCTGGTGCTAATCTGGCCAATTTCGCCTCGTGTGCCAGCGTCATTAGCATGCTTCCGATCTGCACATGCCATGTTGTCAGCAGATTTCTTCGCCTACAGCTTTGGAGAGAAACCCCTCCTCGTGAATCATGTCCTACAGCAAGCACAGGAAAAATTTCTTCTGTAAGCTCTTATCATAGAAGCCGATAAGGTGGGCAACAGCAAAGCCCCCTTCCCTGTGCATGCAATGTATCTTGTGGTAGGC